AGAAAAGTCAGGAAGACAACCATTAACTATTGTTTGTTTTACTCTTTATTAACCCCCCCCCCCCCCCCCGCACACGTTTTTTTTTTTTTTTTTTTCTAGTTTAGGGAGCATCCCTCCTGTTTTTCCTAGCAAATTTTCTTTGGGGTTTTTTTTTTCCCTTGAAAAATTTAAAATATCTGCTCAATAATTTTCTGAAAATTGTTTGGTCAGGATCCAAACATTCTGCAAAACTGAGGATCTGTGCTCCACATGTTGGAACACATTGAGAGAAAAAGAATTTGTTTTGTAAGCAGATGCTTGCAGACGACTACAGCTGTGAGCTGGAAAGTACAATGTTGGGAAAGCCTGGAGTCCTCTTCATCTGATCGTTGTAAACAGCTTTTCTTCCCAGATATATGAACAGGCTTTCTAAGAAGGTTTCTGCTCTTGGTAGAAACATGGCCGCCTTGTCTCGTTTCCTTATCAGGCATGTCATCGTCACATAGAGTATATCTTATACCTGTAGCTTTGTTTTTTCCTGCAATCAGAGCAGCGTGTCCTCCTTTAAGAATCAGATTTCTTACACAAACCTTCATGCTGTTTCCTGTTGATTATTCTAGGTTGTAATCATAGTTCCAGAGTGTCTGTCACCCTGGTTATGTTTGGAAATATCTTTAATGTTTACTTTTAAATTGTAAATCCAGAAAATGTGGAAAATTAAGCATATCTACAGGATAATTTGAAAAGATGCATTTTTAATTTAATTTATTTATTTATTTGACAGGGACAGTGTACATTAAAAAGCATTCCTGCAAATGCACCAGAATTAGCCAAAAGGCTATTTTTCATCTGTTGTCCCTGAACAGATCTTAAAATTGTCTACCTAAAAAAAAAAAAACACACAACAGTAAGCATTCTACAATGAAAAATACAGATATAAAAAGAAATTAAAACAGCTATAACTCCTCAAAACTGATTTAAAAATATAGAATAAGTGTTCGCTGGACTACAGATTTTAGGTTCATAAAATAGAATATTCATTCAATGAAGTTGTGTTCATAGAATGGATAAATTACTAGATATAGAACATTTAATTACCCGGCTTGTTAGAAGTTGTGTTAATAGGGAAAGACATCAGAACCTTTTAGATGTTTCACCTTTGTTGCCTTTGTTTTAAGTTGTTCCTTTAAGTGTTTTAGGCCCCGTCCACACGAAGTCAAAACGAACACGAAACGCTAATATTTTCCAGAATGTCTGCCGTAAAGACGGAGACGTAAAATAAATGTGAGCGTCCACACGAATGCATGAAAACGCTGCAAAATGTATGCCAGGCCTGTAAGTGGCGCTGTGGTGCCAAAGCAAAAATAGGCGACGAAATGTTGGGCATGCGCACTAATATTTATACATGGTTGCCCTGCGGGTCCATTTTCGTGGTTCAGTCAAATTGAGGTGCTGAACTATGTCGTCGATATTGCTCTGTTCTTCCTGGAGATATTCCAGAAGAAGAAGATTCTGTTGTAAGCCTGACAGCAGGGTGAGTAGCATGAGCAGCAATCATTCAACACAGTACGCCGCCATTGTTGTTGTGATACTGTGTCGCGCATGCGTGTTTAGAGGCGACGCTATGACGCATGCGTGTGAAAAAAAAAAAAAAAAATGCGGTTAGAGCTTAAAGATGGAAACGCGAAAACGGCGTTTCAAAATCTTTCCACTCTGAAAGCCTGATAAAAAAAAGATCGTTTACAGACCCCCGAAACGCCGGCTTCGTATGGATGAGAGGCTGGTTTAGTGAAAAATTTGTGCGTTTAGGCCAGGGTTCGGCTTCGTGTGGACGGGGCCTTAGTTGTTGGAGATTTTCTTATGGTTCCGCATGTGGAAGCAGGTTGGAAACTCACTCTTGAGCCCCATTTACACTCCCCTCTGAAAACCGATCTGTGCCGGGTTCAGACCGAGATTAAATCAGTTAACCATGCCGAACTCTGTTCTTTACGAAAGTTTACATCCCACGTTAGCACGGTTCCTCACCTCCTAGTGGCGATCTACGGTACTACTGCTCTATGGAGGTAAACAAGCAAATCCACATGACGGCGCCCGTAACATTCAGGGAGTTTTGGTGATAATTGGGATATTTCAGGTGGAGAAGGCAGCCTTTGGTGAATTTACTTAATAAAGTCAGTAGATGTGTGGCTGACCAGCGGTGTTGTAGAGGGCCGCACTGGGTTAACGCGGTGATTTCATCATCTGTCAGACGCGCGCTTCAAAACACTCCAATCCGCTTCTTGTAATTTCAATCATCAATTTATTCCATTTGGCCGTCATAATCCAGACTTTAAATTGACGGACACATACTGACCTGGCTAAATCATTCTATGATGTCAAAAATAAAGCGACAATATAGCACAATCAACAGAAATTACAACCACCACCGGCACGCCCGCTTCGTCATTCACACAAATTCAACGCGCCAGAATGACTCCCGTTCATACCTTAGTGACACTCACGCCCACCTTAGACACACCCACCACCCAGGTGTCAAAGCCGTGAGCTGCTGTCACATCAGTATTGGCTTATTTTAATCATATGGCTCTTACAGTCGGCTTTTTTGGAAGTAGATACGACAAACAATAGTCTAATCAGGGCTTCCAGACGCAGGAAACGGCGACAGACGTTGAGGTTCATCACACTGCTAAGCAGAATCATCACTGGAAATCCTGTAGCACAGTAGGGAAGCTAGTATTTTTATGAATGTCTGAAATTTCACAATTATGGAGGCTGACTGTAAGGAGATGACGCCGTCTGCTCATGCGCTCTTTTTTTTATCCGAGTACCGAGCCTGACCTGAACTCGCCGAGCCCTACTGTTAAACTACTACTATGTTAGTGTGGTTTGGTTGTGTGTGGCGCGGCCCGGTTCAGTTGTGCGTTCCATTTACACTCAACGGTTCTCTCCGTTACCGTGCTCAGACCGATCTCTGCACGGTTTCAAAAGGATTGTGGAAATGGGGATATAGTCTTCTCAGTGTCAGACTAAAACAGAGTCCTTGGTTATAAAGTAAAATAAAGATCAAATTGGCTTCCATACAATACTTTAACAACTTTTCACAGTAGTTTTTTGCTGAATATAAGTAGGTTTATTTTTAGCTGTTTGTTTTACTTTGTTCCAATTAAAAAGTTAATAAAATACATTAAAAAAATACTTAAAATGTATGTTCATTATATGACAAAAATTTAAAAAGCTTAAAAGTTGTGTCTGCATGTGGAGAGGAGTCTGAGGCCATTTAAACACTTTTACTCATTCAATTTCACAGTCTATTTGTCAAAATACAAGGAATTATGTTTTCCAAAGAAGCTCAGGGTCTCAGTATGGAAGTTTTTCCTCCTTGTTTACACCTAATCATCGTCTGACACAGCTGAAGCCGTTTCATTTACAGCCTCAGTGTTGCTCAATTCAATGAATCATCTTGTGCTTCAGATGAAGCTCTGCAGTAAAGAGCTCCAGTGATGTAACTCCAATTTCATGGCTGTTGTAACACACTGGTCCAGCTGTCAGAAGGTTTCTCAATCAGGTCAAAAATGTGTGCCTTTGGAGATATGTGGATTTGATTTGTGCAATTTATTCAGATTTGGAAAACTCTGGATTCCCACTCAGTCTGGAAAAATGTGTGATTTTCATTTTTAGAAATCTTTGTATTTACAGAATTTGTTCCCCATCTCACCGTATACTTTAAAAGATCCATCCATCGGTTTATTCATCATTCAGCCTGTTGGTCCAACCTTTCCATGTTTATTAGATGTTTCATTGTTTATACTAAGCTGGAATAGAGAAGCTGGAGTTTTGACTGAACATCATAAAAAAAAGAGCATGAATCCATCCTAAAATTGGCTGCTTAGTTTTTTGTCAAACTCCTATCCCCCCCCCCCCCCCCCCCCCCCCCCCTTTGAACCCCGTGCATTTGACTCTAAATGGATTTATTTACTCTGCTTCATAAAAAAAACACAAATTCCCAAAATATTTCCCGATCTGCCTCAGAGATGAACCTGGAGTGCACATGTTCCCCTGATTTATAATGGCTCCTGTAAGATGTCCCTCATTCCTCCGCGCTCCTTTTCTCCCGGACCTCTGCTGCCCTGGACCGGACAACACTGGACAAATTGTCCGAACTGCAAATGCTTGTGTTGTTTTGATTGGAAGTCAAACAAGCAGCAGCCTGTTCCTAAAGAAAACATTAGCGGTGGAACGCCTCCCTCCCTCCCTCCCTCCCTCCAGTGCCGCTAGCTGCAGACAGGCGGGGGGGATCCGGTAAGGAACAGAGCTGAACTGGGAGGGAGGTGCAGGAGGCAGGCCGGACCCTGTGAACGGGCCATCTGTGAAAAGGAGGCATTGTGCGTGGGCTTCATCAGAGTGCACTGACCTCAGCCCCCCCTCTTCCCTCAACACACAAACGCATAAATGCAAACACACACTGCGCTGATGTCATGTGGATCCAGTTTACCCAAAGATCAAGAATTCACACATTTATTTGCCGACGCAACGAGGCGGCCAGTTCTTCCTACCTTTGACGACACAAAGAGGAAACTGACTTGCATCTCAGTGGGATTGAAACTTTATCGCAAGGTTTCAACACCAGGATGTTGTTAAAAACAACCTGAGCTGATTTTGTTTTCTATGCAGAGAAGCAGATGTCAGTGAGCAGCAGATTGGATTTGTGGGCAACAATTTGTAAGTCTGGGATCAGGAGCGAAGAGGGTGACATAACTAAATAGTTTCTACACATGTGCAACAGCTCCCTCTACTGGTAAAGGTCACACATCAAAGATGGTTCACTTGAAGCAGCTCAATCTCTGAGGTGGTGCTGAAGGGCTTTAGAGCAACTAGTAAATTATTTAAACTATAAATTTTATGTTTTTCTGTCAGTGCACCACACATGTCAGTGAATATTGTAAATATTAGTGACAGAAAATAACACCTCAAATGTGTTGAAACAATGTTCTTACGATTTCCTCTTCTTCTATCTGCTGTAGGTGATGCATCTGCAGAGAGAGAGCGGAACGGCTGAGGAACACAGTTTGGACAAGGAGGCGAGGAAGTGGGCGAGCCGCGTAGCACGAGAATACAAAAGCATCATACATACACAGAGGGTAAGGGGGGGAATAAACACGCCTTTGACCAAGATTTCTCACACGCACTACTGAAAAAATAATGTTGCTTTCATCATAAGGAGCGTGAATTTATAGGTACAACTTTTAATGATCATTAAAATGAAAGGAGGGATTTCAACTCGCTGACATGCTTTATTACACACATTATTTTCATTTTTCATTTCAAAAAGTTTATTTCAAACCTGCACACATTTTACAATACATATAACTGGCCCAGTGCTCCCTGTCCCTGCAACACATAAAGGCTGAGAGGCCATGCGCAGGTAACCTGACAACAGCCAGATGCATGTCTCACTCCGCCTAGCTCCACTCACATACATCTGGGAACCCGCTCATTGAAAGTGATTTCCCCAACCGAATTTATGGTCTGTCCAATCAGGACGCAGGGTGGGTGTGTCCTGGAGTGGAGAAGCGACCGTGAGATTCCAACAACAATGGCGGCTCGCATTGAGGAAGCAAGCGTTAGCATTGATGCTGCTATTTCTTCTATGTTGTCCAATCTATCTGATATTGTTTCATTAAAAGAACATCAGAGAACGGCTTTGAAGGCTTTTGTTGGTGGAAACGATGTTTTCGCCCTTCTCCCGACCGGATTTGGCAAGAGCTTGATCTACCAAATGGCTCCTCCTCTCACAGCGTCACGGGTTAGCTTCGGTGTGAGTGGTTGAAATAGCACGTCAATAAAGATGACAGACAAGTGGCTTATCCAATCATATGCAAGGAGTTTTGATAAGGCCCAGCCTTCAGTAAAGGCAATTCCTAATGCGGGTTCCCAGATGTATGTGAGTGGAGCTGGGCGGAGCGAGACATGCATCTGGCTGTTGTCAGGTTAATGCGCAGGCCCAATCAAAGTGTTATACATGTATATAGTTGAGGCAGATATAGGTGCAGTACTTGCAAAAACCACCGAGGGGCAGTGATCAACAATCAAGCAGAAATCCCATCCACTGTATTTATAGAGCACATTTATAGGAAAAATACGGTAAGCAAGGAATAATCAATGGATCATTATCTATACCTAAAACTAATAAGTTTGCGATGATTTAATGAATTTAGTGTTAATCAGTAAAAAAATTCAAATAATAATTTTCAACGTGATCACTGAGTCTGGGAGCGGCCATTTTTGCCCAAATATAGTAACCCCTCCCTCCTGCCATCTTCCAGCAGTGATGTCACGGTGCGGTAAGCCTAGCGCCATTCTCCCCGCTTTACAAGCTAAATCAATGGGAACTACTAGACACATCTGCAATCAACAACAATTATTCAAGATTTCCAGAGGACTTCACCATTGAAATTCACCAGAGCTATAGTGAAACTGACAATGCCCACGTGCATGGCAGCTGGATGCTGGAATACATCGGGTAAAAGTGAAAAAAAAAGAGTTATTCCACCTTTCTGATTCCTGATCCTCCACGGACGGGTTGGTCGTTGGATCGCCAACTTGAAGAGGGAGGATTTGCCATCGAACTTCTGGCCAGAGAAAAAACCCGTAATATGTAGCCAACATTTGGAAGAAGAATGTTTTCAAGATGACTTGGAAAATAGCGCGTTGTGACAAACACCAGATACAGCACTGGGACTTGATCAACAGCCGATACCGCACCGTGACGTCACTAACCAGTAGGTGGCAGTAGTGTTCTTTGACAAACATGGATGCCTCCAGTAAAGCACATTCACATGAAAATTACTCTAAATTAAAAACACAATTTCATATTTAAAGTACTTTCAAAAGTTTGAATTCTGAATATGACCGGACTCTCCTTTAACAGTAAAAAATGTTTCCAATGTGATGTACATAAAAACAATCAAAAAAACCAACCCACACACAAAAAAAGTAGTAAGAGTTTAAAATGAATAAATGATTAAAAAGGACCACAAAATGATGCAGAGTTAAAAGCGGGTCTTAAGACAAGACCTAAAACTATCTACTGCAGAGGCTGTTCTGATATGGAGGGGCAAAGTACCCCAAAGTCTGGGGCCAACTACAGAAAAGGCTCTGTCCCCTCTGGTTGTAAGCCTCGTCTTAGGCACTGTTAGCTGAAGATGGTCCTCAGAACACATACCGGAGAGTAAATCTTGAGGAAATTGCAGAAAAAAAAGGGAATTAAACAGTTGACGTCCCACTTCCAAAACGGCTGAGCAAAGTATTGTTTATTTAAGAATTTATGATTATTGAAGAATGGTAGGTGTGTTTATGGAAGCTACACAGAAATATAGTGGAATAAAACGGTCGGTTTACCTGATGCACACAGCGAGACGTAGCGATGGGGAAACCAGCTGCCCTGTGAAGCCCATACGGACCTTTTTGTTTTCTAAATAACAGATATAATAAAAAATAATGAATGTATTATGTACTATGAGTATTTGCTTTAAACATTTTAAGCTGTTTGTGATGGAAACATAAAACTCCTTGTTCGTACCAAAAGCTTGGCCAATAAACTCGCCCCTTTATGCTGTTTTCAATCACTGAATAAACAGTTACATCACTGCATTAAACTACACTGTTCAAGCTGAACCTTCTGCTCCACTTGATGTCAGTACAGGCAAACTTGTTCATGGCGAACGATTTTATATCCTCCCATTTAAATCGAGGCTGACACTCATAGTCTGCGGCAAGTTACAAAGATTGAAGGTCAACCTAGCGCCAATGCTGAGCACATTTTCTGCTGTCGGGGGGCAAGGGCATATTATTGCATCACTTTTGGTGCATGCACCCTCGCGCCCTGTTCAATGCAGCAAGTATAAACCAAGCTTCATGATAACAGTAGTTATTATTACGTATAATCATTATTATCATTATTAAGCCCTCTGATACTGCAGTGGTCATACATTGTGCAGCTCTTATTCAGTAGTTACCATTGATGCACATAGAGGGATGCTAATGCTGCTACTCAAACAAAAATACTTTGGTTATCTTAAAAAAAATATATATGTATTTTTCACAAAACCATAATATATTTGAAATAAACATTTGTGTTTTTACTATGGAGTTTCCATTGGAGTTTGTAGGTTTTATTTAAAGCTTGTAGGCTTGCGTCTATTACCGTATATATAACTAATATATAACTATTTTTACAGTCAGCTATTTTCCTGTGATCTCCATCATCACTTTGTCATTAAAAATAACGCTTCAATCACTTATAATAAATATATTAACTCACTTATTTTAGTCTTAACATCTATGAATCTCCCTGTGTTCAGTCTTGTTGCCACGATCCTATATTTTAACAGCTTTAGAAATGAGTCTGTAGATTATAAAATTGAAATTCAACTGATTTGATGTATTTTTAACAATATTATTTCTAGCAAAATATGTGTATTTTTCCTTCTAAAACATGATCACAACAATTAATGTCAGTAACGAATGAAACACTGAAATAAGCTGAACATTAACCGTTAAAAATCTTCTGACTTAACTATAACCTCATTGGTTAAAGGCAGCTGGTGTTAGCGCTGCAACAAAATGGACAATACTGCTATAAAGACATCAGAGTAGTTTTGCAATTAAGCCACATGTTGGTGAACAAAGTCAATATTTCATGTTTTTTTTGTCTTAAAAGATTAAAAAATTAATTTTGTGTCAAAGAAAGGATTTTATTGATTTTTTTTTGCTATCCTTTTAACCATTACTGAAGCAGCAGTGAATCATGGGATAGGTTGAGCAGGCAACTAAGGCTTTACTGCCCTCTGCAGCCGCGTCAGTGAACTGCATGTGATTCATACTTTTTATTTATTATACATCACATCAACAAATTGTTGCATACCTAAAAGCTCACATTTCAAATATTTTAACAGATAATAAAGAAGCTTTGCAGGTCCATTAAACAAAGGATCTGTTGATGTAAAAAAAAAAAAAAGAAAAGAAAAACATTTACTTGTATTGTTGCTGAACAAAATAGGAAGACTTCCAGGTTTGTTCTGCAATTCATTTCATTTCCTAACAGCCTGAGCCTGAATTTATCTCTGATAGTTAAATAATGTAGGTTTTAACACATCTGGGGACAATTGATAGCCCATAATATCCAGTATGACTTGTGAGATTCTGTCTCTTCACCAGTAGCAGCTGGTCAATAGAGGGCGCTAGGGTGCCGCCCCACACCCAATGACCCTGATTAGGACATACAAAAAAAGTTATTTTTTTAAGAATTTAAATTAAAATGTAAAGTATTTCGAAATATATCTCTACATATGTTTTAGATGTGTAAGATAAATATTTAATCTTTAGTGACTAGTAAAGTGTCATTCCATTTTTCCTAGTATTGGTGACATATTTCCACCCTATGGTGCAAAAACCTTTGCCCATTGACTCTTGTTAAAAGTTGTCCATGCGCAGCAACTCCTCTGCAATGCAGCAGTATAGGAGATACTGCTGCAGGTTATTCGCTCGGGGCGAAGGAGACCATGGACTCTCTTTATTGGTCCAATGTTTCAATTACAATAAACACAAGTAAATTACTTACATATACTCATAAACAACAACTCAAAAGAAAAAAACAAAACACATAAATCCACCCCCTCAAAAACTGAGAATAAGCATTTCATTATTTAGATGACATAAAACATCTCCACCTCCCCAAATAGAAATAAACTCACTAGATTTGACACCGTTCTATAATAAGCAAACTCTGTCCTAATTCGTGCCGCCACCAGGCCTCTGAACATCAGTTCAACATCTACTGAACCTGACTCCTTCATTTCATATCTCCTGGTGACGTTCATCTTTGCCTGACCACGCAGGAGAGCTGTGCCCCGAGGTGACAGGAAGTGTATTTGCTCTAGAGATGTCCCGATCCAGGTTTTTGCACTTCCGATACCGATATTGTTATTGGACTTCCGATCAGATACCGATACTGGCCGATACCAGCCTATCCGAGCATGTATTTAAGTTTAAGTTAAAGTATTTAGCCTTAGTTGTAAGACTCATGTTGAAAAGGGTTTTAGTACTCTTGATAACATCTAGCCAGCTAAATTAGGTGAGATTGAATAAAACACAATGCTTGGTAACAACAAACTTACCTGTTTATTAAGAGATAAACACAAACTGGACAAAATTATGAATAGCAATCTGAAATTGCACGGTGAACAGTAAAACCGTAAACAGTTAAAGGTGCAAGTATTACTGTAAGTTTCAATAAAAATGCAGAACAGACAAGAGTGGAAAATAGTCTATTAACTTAGAATCAGGACTCTACTCTTGAAAAAGACACTGTTAAAAAAAAAAATCAGTGCAAATAATAGTTACACAAAAATGCCTTATACTCCCCAATGTCCTCAACACCTAGTCTCCATCTACACATCGTGCAGGATAAAATAATCCCACACGGCTGACATTTTCCCCGCTATCTTCCAATTCACCTGTTTTAATGGTTAGGCCGGGAGACAGACCCAAAAAGACCTGTGGGTGTGTTGAAGATGTTCTGGAAAATACGGACCGGATTCGGGGAACACTGGCGCAAAATAGTGGAATGGATTATTTCAATCGGCGAAACTGGAAAATACGGACCGGATTTTTTTTTTTTTTAAACTGGATCGGCAGTCTGGATCGGCATTTTTACATGCTTTGCCGATGCGCATTTTTTTGCCAATATCGGCGTCCGATCCGATATGTGGATCGGATCGGGACAAGCCTAATTTGCTCACCACCTCCCGCCACAGCGCAGACGTTTTGCGGGTGACTGACAGGTCGAGTCGCAGGGGTTGGAGATGCATTAGAGAGAGAGAGAGAGAAATGGCGCTAGAAACGTCCTTTTCCAGGACCTCGTTTAGCAAGAAGTCTTGGCTAGCAGCATGTAGCTTTATTCTGCTTTCCTGCCTCCTTTTTCAAACGTCTGACTCAGCGTGGATAAAGACAGCTAGGACTGATTTAAAGCACTTTATAGAAAAGGCAAAGAAGAATGAACAATCTGGGATTCACTTGGAAATTAATATAATATAGTTTACTTTTTCTAGATGTTTGTTTATTTGCATAGTTGCTGATAAATAAACACTTTGTTAGAAAATAGTTTTTATATATAAAAAAAATATAAAGCTGACTAATAGCTTCTCCATTATCAAACTGGTACATTTTATTTTAGCTTTGTGACACAATACTGGACCATGCAAAACACAGATTTACCTTCAGAAAGCCTCAGAAGAACAAGATTTATGGACAAAAAGAAAACCTGTTCATGAAATTATGTTATGTTTATAATGTTTTTTGTTGTTGGCATTCATATAAATATACTGGTGTGATAACTTAGTATATGTCTATTTTTTGGTATACATCTATTTTGAATTTATAGCCCCCCCCCCTGGAGAAAACTCCCCCAGCCGCCACTACTCTTCACTTCTCTGTATTGTCGTTCCCTTTACTGTACAGCAGCAGGATGTGTTGGTTCTGTAATAATAAACCCATTGACTGTAAAACTGAAGTCGGTTACGCCACTTTATGAGAACCAGAAGTGATGAAGCAACATGACGCAGGTTAGAAGTTCATCACTTTGTACGTCATTTATTACCAAAGGCTGAGTCAGATGAGTCTCACTTACAGGGCTCGATGTTAACCATTGCCCGATCGCCCGGGCAAGTAGTTTTTATTGTCGGGAGAGTACAAATGTCATTGCATTTGCCCGCCGGGCAAGTGCAGTGATCGCAAAAAAAATGTATTTATCACTCAAAATTACTTTAAAATCACCGACATTCCCTGAAAACGACCCACAAGCGTTGCCGGCGCCATCTTTGTTGTTTTGTACACATTCTCGCGTGATTTGAAAAGGCTGCGTGATTTTCCGCTAGATGGCGTGATTCAGCTCTTGGGGAGAGAATTCTGCAGAGCAGCAGCTGGATGATGAATTTAATCTATACTATAATACACGCTAGATTAAAAATGATCAGTCAGGGATTAGGAAAATAATAATAATAACTGTATGCGCACAGTGTAAATATTTCTATCATATGGCAGTCTTCTGTACAGTGGTCATACATTAAAAAATGTTCATTAAATTTTTTTCTCTTAGACATTGGAGTGGTGCATTTAAATGTTATAGAGCTAAACATGTTAAATTAGTGAGTAGTAGTAGAGTAAGTTTTTAACCTGTCAAGTTTTTTTTATTTTTAACATTACAATTTATATTTTTCCAAGCACACAACAGTTTAAAGCAAAGTTTAGTTTGAAAAGAATGTGCAGGAAGGATTGAAAAGCATGTTAACACGGTAATGTAGTCTTGAGTTCATTATCTGACGCATGCATAGACACACCAGGAAACTGGAAACTTAAAAAATACTGAATTACAAAAAACATTTAAAAAACAAACATGTTTCATTGATATATATACAAAAATGAATAATAGAAACTATATTTATCAAACATTATACTGGGCAAGTAAAAATTGTCTCTGGGCAAATGAAATGTGAAAGTCACTTGCCCAAAGGGCAAGTGGTAAAAATCCTTAACGTCAACCCCTGACTTATGTTTTCAACCTTCTGGGTGACTTTGGTGTATTTTCAGTTGTCACTCAATGTAAATAAATAGATAAAGAAATAGCATAGAATCATAAAAATGCTGCTTCCAGAGTCTGGGTCCTGCCTCTGAGAAAGCAAACCAATACAGTGTTTGGACCTAGGTTCTTGGTATATGTAAGAGAAGCTGAAGACCTCAAAAGCTAATGTTTAAAAAACAAACAAAAGTTTTATCAAATTTTATTTAAAAAGAAAACAAAAAAACAGGAAACCAAAATAAAAAAGTGTGCTGATCTCATTAGAGTTGTGTTTGATGGAAGACTTCTCACCATCGTCTGATAAACTCTGATCTCCATGTTCCTGCTGGGTGATGAGTCGTTTACTGCTGGTTTGGTTTCAGGCCTTGGAGGAGTACGGGAACCAGGAGGCGTCTGAGCAGAGCAGCAGCGAGGTGGACGCCAAGATGGAGGTGGCCAGGCAGAGTCTTCGGAGGGCAGAGGTAACGGAGCAAAATCTCATTATCTACCTCCAGCATAAAACCGATGACGGTACACGCTGAAGGCCTCCTCATTCCTTTCATATCCATGAATAACAACAATCATAGTTAATTAATGAGGAATAGTTTTAAAGCTGAAACCAACTAATTCTGCTCTTATTCACCATCAGACTGTGAAAGCAAAGGCCGAGGCCCGGCTGGACCTGCTGCGGCAGGCGGGAGTCGCCGTGGAAACGTGGCTGAAGAGTGCAATGAACCAGGTTATGGAGGAGCTGGAGAACGAACGCTGGAACAACCTCAGCTCCCATGATCCTTCACTCTCTGTAAGATCCCAAGTCGCTACGCTACGTAGCAAACAGTTGAGGTTGAGTCAGTTTAACTGGAGTCAAAAATCAAGCATCTTAAGCAAAAGTTAAAAGATGTAATTATTTTAGGGAACGGCTGATCTGGAGCGGGAGGATGAGGAGATGGAGGACAGCAGTGAGGTGTTGGATGACAGCAGCTCCAGTCCTTCAAGCACCCTGAAAAACTATCCGCTGACCTGCAAAGTGCTTTACTCCTACAAGGTAACGGCCAGCAGCCAGGCAGAGCCAGCTAAACGGAAAAGATGAGGTTGCACTTTAGTTCGGTTGTCTGAGAACCGGTGTGTTGTCTGCAGGCGTCTCAGCCTGATGAGCTGACCATAGAGGAGCAGGAGATCCTGGAGGTCATTGATGATGGTGACATGGAGGACTGGGTCAAGGTATGCTGCTGCTACACATGCATGTATAGACACATCCAAACATCTGTACACTCCTGTTAAATTCCAGGTTTCTGTCGTATTAAAAGGGGAAGCTGATAATTCCAGGGAACAAGACATCGACAAAAATGTTGAATTGTCACATTCTTAAATTAATGTTTTGTTGCGGCAGCAGCCTAAAGCCCCCGTCACACCTTGATGGTGTAGACCATCGTATGCCTGACGCACAAAAAATCTGGCAAAAAGCTGACATACGGGGTTCCTGGCGAGCAAGCGATGGAGTAGGTTGTGAGGAGTGTGCTCTGCATAATTTAGTTTTAAAAGGCCGTTTTTATTTGATTTATGTACTGAAATTCTGAAGTGTATGCACATCTAAAGCCTATACGTATCATTTGAGCCTTCTCTCACGAAGATAAATGGCGAATAACCTGCGCAAATACAAGTTTAAACCCACGCCTAAAAACACGCCTGATATTGCAGCTAGCAACGTTAGCGCTGCGGTACCTAGCACACCTAGCACCACCTCTAGCATGTCTACCGAGGAGTTGAAGAAGGGACCAAAGGGGAGACCTGAATCAGCCCCGACAGACCTAAAGACTGAGATTCTATCTTCCATCGAGACCGAAATGACCAAACTCTTCCAAAATGAGCTTGCAACGGTAATAGCTAAGGAGTTTGAAGGGATTAAAGATGAGCTAATGCTAACAGTTCGATCGGAGATTGCTAGCTGTACTGCAACATTTCTGGCTAAGGTTATGGATCCCACTCTCTTTTCACTGGAGTAATACACATTGTCATATTCTAACTGTCCTTAATGATGCAACAGGAGGGTTGTTCGAGTGGTTAAAGGGGGAAAATTGTTCTGATGTACTTGAAATTGTATTTTTCTTGACTGATTGCTTCATAAAAATACTTTGGAGGAAAAAAAAAAAAAAGAGCTGACATACGTATGAATTATGAGCACGCTGAAATACGCTTTAACATGCTGGAACAGACTGGCACATGTCAGCATACGGCAAACACGTATGCCAGTGTGTGCCATATGTGGGCTGTAAGCTACAGGTAAGTTATCTGATCGTTGACATACCTTAAGTGTAGGTAACTCATTAAGTTTTGGTGTCTAGCTTATCCAGAAACTAAGAGTAACTTATCAAGAACTTCTCTCCAACGCATATCAACGTATCTAACGCGTTCCAGACGAGCGCTGAACGTGTTTCTAACTTCCAGCTACTGTTTAATGGCGTATTGGCAGCGTTTTTTCTGGCTTCCTAGCAGACAGGAGGCTGTATCTGCTGTGTCTGCAAACCTTCGTTCTTTTTTTCTTTTTAGTTGTTCTTATTTTTTTTTTTGGCAGGTAGTAAACAGCAGCTGGGTTATTACCACTATGAAAGAAATCTTTTTACGCTGACCAGGCGCCTCTGTGCGCATCGCTGCTCCCCTCAGGACACTGGCTGCTGCATCATTTCATGGGTATTATGTAGTGTTGAGCCGATGCCATTTTTTGGCACCGATACCCGATACCTGGCTGTGCAGTATCGGCTGATACCGATACCATAATAATGTAAAATAATTGCCATCATGGCTTCATGTCAAGCTGCTGCCTACCTTTGTGAAGCAGGAAAAAATCGAATAAAAACTGAATCCAGTAGAATTTTGTATTGCTTGCCAGAAGTGGGTGACAATAGTTGGATAAACTTATGGCTCAAAATGGTATCGGTGCCCTATTTGTTGGTACTCGCCGATACCGATACCACCATTTTAGGGCAGTATCGGGGCCCCGTCCGATACTGGCATCGGTATCGGTGCAACACTAGTATTATGCTGTGGTGGATTATGCATAAGTTAGGTTGTTGTTGGACATAAGTTCTGGACTCGTTGTAAATACTCTATAAGGCCAAAACTGAAAAAAATATGTTGGAGATCAGCCCGTTTTTCAGTGTAGTCCTGTTTCTCTGACTGTGACTAACTGGATGTGCTGTCTTCGTCCTCTGACATGGGAGCTGGCTCGGAGCTCGTCTGCCTGGCTGTGTGTTTCCTGGACAGGGCTGCCTTTTACTGTTGCCGTTTGTATCTCTGCTTCTGTCTCCTTGAACCCCAGTCGGCCATAGCAGATGGCCGCTCACACTGAGCCTGGTTCTGCTGGACGTTTTTTCCTGTTCAAAGGGAGTTTTTCCTCTCCACTGTCGCTACAAGCATGCTTAGTGTGAGGGATTGCTGAAGAGTCAATTAGTCGATGCAATCAGCTAGTTTTAACTTAACTTTGAATCAATCTGACTGGATGATCTGGTGAACTGTAAAGTTCCTTGAGATGACAGACTTCTGGATGTTTCCTTCAGGTTAAGCCTAGTTTTTTCACATAAAATGATTCCACTTTAAAAAAGGAGGAACTGCAGTTTATCTGTTCAGTGTACTAACATATGTTATAGATGCATATACACATTGAGGCATATCTGCATATCTGTCTATTTATGGATTTGTTCAGGCCAGGAACCGCAGTGGACAGGTTGGTTACGTCCCGGAGAAATACCTGCAGCTTCCGTCCTCCAACAGCCTGCTGAGCATGCTGCAGTCTCTGGCCTCGCTGGACGCCCGCTCCCATTCCTCCAGCAACTCCACCGAACCTGAGACCGAGCTCTCAGCCAGCTCTGTCAACGGAGACTCTGGCGGTGAGGGTCACCTGCATTAGATAAAGGCCAACGCTGTTTGCCTACAACTACAATAAAAATCAAATTACTTGTTAAAATCTTCCTCCTCTATTTCAGTGTCATTTGCCAAGGCTCTGTACGACTACGCAGGACAAACGGACGAAGAGCTTTCGTTTCCTGAAGGCGCGATCATCCGTATCCTGAGCAGAGAGACTCACGAGGATGATGGTTTCTGGGAGGGAGAGTTTAACGGCGTCGTCGGAGTGTTTCCTGCTGTTCTGGTGGAAGATCTCACCGGCGTTAACGAAAACGGAGACGGACAGAAAGAAGGCAGCACACAAGTATGTCGGTGATGCAAAACTAGCATTGCAGCTTTGTTTGTTTGAACAGTTTCCACCCTTTATGCTTTCCTCTGCTCTTGAAGGCTTCTCCCTCCACCGCGCCTCTGTGCGATCGCTCCCCCTGCAGTCCCTTTCAGTTGGCGCCGCTCCACAGCAGCCCGCTTCAGACGCCCACCACACCCTCCTCTGGATCCGCTCCCTGCAGCGCCGCGACCTCTCCAGTCGGCCGGCCGCCCTCCTACCACAACGGACACCACCGGCCTCCTCCGGCGCCTCACAAGAGCCCGTATCACAGTACGACGCGCTGCTTCAGACACTGAGCTCAGACCAATGAGAGATAAATAATCAGAGTTCTCTTTTCTTCCTTTAGGTCCAGTTCAAGGATCCTCTCAGCCTCCTAAATATCCAGAGGGCGGAGCTGGCAGCATCAGACCTGTAAGCAACAGTTTAATGATGATTACTACCACACGATGGCGCTAAAACATCCCTGCGTTGGCAAACAGTTACCTCGTCAGAACTCTGGAGAATCTGACTCCATTCAGTCATTTAATTCTGATGTTTTAGACTAAGAACACTTTAAAAAGTTACGGAACACCAACCCAAGAGCAATAAAAATAGAATAATCTGGTCCTGATCAGATTGTTGCTCAAATATCTTAATCATTATATTTCAATCTTGCCTCGTGTCAAGTTCTTGTGGCCATCTTTATCTGCAATAACTGTAATTTTAGCAAACTCTTGTTTGCGGCAAAGGAAATGGGTCCATTCTAGTTTATTTTTTTCCGGTTCCTGCGCAGCTTTCTGAAGTCCTACCAAACCATTCCAATCAGTTGACTCTTAAACACGTTGGTATGGCGGGGAGTTCGTGGCTAACTTAACTCTGACCCCTCCATGTTGGACAGAGTTGACGGCCGTTTCTCGATAGGTGTAGTTGTGCGTTCTCATGTGCTTGTTTGCTCGTGAAACATCATCCTCCTCAAAGTCCCCGGATGTTGTTCTGGCCCCTCCCACTTTACCCAGCATGCATCAGAGCAGACTTGTCCGTTCAAGACTGACAGCTGTCCCAGCATGCACTGCGGCAGCGGCAGCTTCCAGCGCTCACAGAGCTCAGAGTATGAAGTTAAAAGTTCTCTTTTCTGTTGTCGTTCTATTAAAGTGCGTTTTTAGATCATTTGAGGTGAGAACATTATACTTTATGCATCACTATATGGTCCATTTACTGATTTTATTTAAGAAAAATAAATAAAAAGTTCAGGGGCGTGCAGCTGGGGCAGTGGTTAGCGCGCACGACCCATTTACAGAGACCTTAGTCCTCAATGTGGCCGACCCGGGTTCGAATCTAACCTGTGTTCCTTTGCCGCATGTCTCTCCCCCTCTCTCATACCCCCTTCCTGTCGGCCTACTTTCAGTAAAAGGAGCCACTAGTGCCCTAAAAAAAGAAGAAAATAAATGTTCCCATGTTGAGAGGACAGCAGTCCTCCAAGGCTAACAGCAGCCAGTGCTAACGTTAGCCCGTCTGCAGCAGCCCTCTGCATAGCCGTGATGCTCTGATGGAGGTTTTTTTTGTTTTATTTGGCAAAATGTTCCTTTGATTTGTTTTTGTCTGACTGTGTTAATTATTATTTCCCCAATAAATGAAAAAAGTAAGAATTTATTATTATCTAGAGACTATTAATAACAGGAGGTGAGATGCAGCTTCAGCGAGCTGAAGCGTGTGGTGACGTCACGAGTCTCCACTAGAGACTGACACGGGAGTGGATTTTCACTCCTGTCCCGTCCCACTCCCACAGAAAAAAAATTGTGTCCCGTCCCGATCCCGGGCCAGACTAGAAATCTAAATCCTGTCCCGTCCCACTCCTGGTGAACTTACTCCCGTTCCCATTCAGAATGACTCCCGCTCCTGCACCACTCCCATTCTTGTTGTCTTCAATAAGATTTCACTTTTTTCAAACTTTTTGAAGTCGACTTCGCCACTAACTGTTGGTCCCTCCATTGTTGTTTTTGAGCACGGGTGAAAAACTCAGAGCGGAAGCACTGTTGGTTTTTGGGTCGTGTAGTTTTTTTGACTCGCATTATAGTACAGGCTTCAAGGAAAAAAAACTCCAAAATGGCGGCGCCAGTACAGGATTGTTTTTCTTTCTATTTTATTTTATTTTTTGGCATTGATCCTAGTTTTTTTCAGTTACTATCGGTTTGCTCCCGCTCCCGTCTGCTCCCGTTAATGTTTAATCCTGTACCGTCCCAATCACGTGATCGTTACTAATACTGACTCCCATCCCACGGGAATCCCGTGACCCGTGGCATTCCCGAAAAAATGTCAGTCTGTAGTCTCCACACTTCTTCTCCTCTGTTCCAGTTGACCCATATTTATTCTGCATGCTCCTGTTCTCTCCAAGTCCAGACTTTCCTGTGTTCTTGGCGAGGACACGAGTCCGTACTTGCGTTCTCGTGAATTCTTTCAGTCGGTCAAAATTGTTGGTGGGCATCATGGCTGAACATCTTCTGTTTGTAGGTGTTTTAGTTTGGACAGAAGCTGCTTTTTTAAACCAAAGTCATGCAGCCATGTTCTCACTAGAAAGAAAGGAGACTTCCTTTTTGAATCATGGCATACGTCACACACGTTCTCCATTTCCTCATTGTCCAGTCCTGAACTCTGACCTTTAGCAGGCCTCAGAAAACAGCAGCTGACTCGTACCTTTGTGTCTTCTTTCCTTAGCAGCTAAGGTTTACTTTGTTTTTCATGCACTGCTTCCCTTTTTTTTATTAGTTTGTATCCAATAAAGTCTAACTAAGTCATTTATCACCCTTGAGTTAAAATTTGAATCATGTTCCAACCTTGTAAAAACCCGATCCTTTGATTAACTGAGAGGAAGGTGAACTTTCTAAGTGGATTGTTGGGTGTTTGCAGGTCCGTGCGGCTCCTCCTCCCCCAAAGCAGCATCCTAGAGGCCAGGTGAAGCGTCGCGAGGAGGTGGAGATCACGCTGGTGTGAAACCGGCCCAACAAGCACCCCCAAAGGAAACCCAGAGGACACTTAAAGGCCCCCTGAGGAGGCCTGGAGGAAGGAGAGGCCCCTGCGCTCAAAACCTCATAGGAACGCGGTGCTTCAGAGGAATAATGTGCCTTTATCGTCTGTTTTCCCCCGTTTGATTTACATCGTCCAAGAAAATAGAGCTGAGTGCAGCCTCAGCTGTCTGATCTGGATCTTAAACATCTATGTTTCCCAAAAGATTTCTTTCTCCTTGTGAAAATGGGTAAAGCTGACATAAAAAGGGAACTCATCATCAGGGGATCGGCGCCGTCGTTTGCACTTTAGATATTTTTAAATCAAGCTGACTTCCATGGATGATTAGCTCACCATAAACGCATCTAAAGCGGTCGGTTGGGATGCTGCGTCTTCTCACTACGTATTTAACTTCTAGAAATAATCTCCTGTTCTCAGATAAGCCTGATCTGATCCAGATTAGGATGAGCTCTATCAGAACGCTAACGTCCACTTAAACAGTTAATTGATGACATTTAAACTTCAGAATTAACCTCAAAATTGTCTTTCAAGGTCATAACTTTATTTTAAACATTTAATCTCTTTGATTTTTTTTTTATTACTTTTAAAAATTACATCCATTCTTAGCAGAACTGCTCTTGATTTGACTTGAAAACTCAGAGACACGTTTTCCTCTTCTCACCAAGAAACTCAAGATTAACTCGATTAACTAAAATTAATTCACTGTTTGATCACTTCTTGCCTTTATATTTATTTGGTCTAAAAAATTAACTAGGAAATGAGTTGTTTTATTGATGTTTAGAGGTGCATCAATCAGGTTTTTTTTATGCCGATTGCTTTAATTTAACCGTTCTGAAGGGATTTTTCAGCAGCTCTAAATCTTTGCTCAGAGCAATGGTTTTGATCATTGATCAGTGACTGAGCCGCCGAGGTTTCAGCTCCCCGTTACGCCACAGATCACCAGCAGTCAGCTCTCACGATCAAAACTAAAAGCCTGTTGTCTCCACGCCTGATCCCGACTCCAGCCTGGGCGAGGCCGGTCCTCTCCGCCTTCAAAACGCGTAGCTGAAAGCAGTTACACCAACAAGGGAAAAGTGGCAATTCTGTTTGTTTTCTCAGTAGAAATGATTCAAATGACCTTGTTTGTTTGTTTTTTTAAACCATTATCACTTTAGTTTGGATCTAAGGAAACCAGTAGTGTAAACACACAGTGTAACGTTGTTGTTGTTTGTGTCTTAATGTGCAGATTCATGTTTTTTATATCATTCAGGGTTCCTGCTCAGTCTAACAACACTCAGTGTTTCTCATCTGGAAATTTATGGAAATAATCTCAGTATTTCCAGACTTCTATCCCTAAATGTCGTCCCTCTATCAGTGTTTCCTCCCATTCCCACTTATATCCTTTATTTCCCTCCTCCCTCTCCTTCCTTCCTCCCAACCTTTTTTAGGTCCATCTTTTCTCCGATGTCTCCTGCCTCCATTTCTAAATGTTTACTTCCTCTCTTGTTCTTCCTTCCCTCCTGGTCTTTGCTTCCATCTTTCCTTGTATCCTTCCATCCATCCTTTTGGTCTACCTCTCTTTTCCTTCCTTCCTTCCTTCCTTCCTTAGTCCCCTCCTTACTCCCGTCCTTCCTTCCTTAGTCCCTTCCTTCCTTCCTTACTCCCTTCCTTCCTTACTCCATTCCTTTCTTCCTTACTCCCTTCCTTCTTTACTCCCTTCCTTAGTCCCTTCCTTCATTCCTTAGTCCCTTCCTTCCTTCCTTACTCCCTTCCTTCCTTACTCCATTCCTTTCTTCCTTACTCCCTTCCTTCTTTACTCCCTTCCTTAGTCCCTTCCTTCATTCCTTAGTCCCTTCCTTCCTTCCTTACTCCATTCCTTTCTTCCTTACTCCCTTCCTTCTTTACTCCCTTCCTTAGTCCCTTCCTTCATTCCTTAGTCCCTTCCTTCCTTCCTTACTCCCTTCCTTCCTTACTCCATTCCTTTCTTCCTTACTCCCTTCCTTCTTTACTCCCTTCCTTAGTCCCTTCCTTCATTCCTTAGTCCCTTCCTTCCTTCCTTACTCCATTCCTTTCTTCCTTACTCCCTTCCTTCTTTACTCCCTTCCTTCCTTACTCCCTTCCTTAATCCCTTCCTTCCTTACTCCATTCCTTTCTTCCTTACTCCCTTCCTTCTTTACTCCCTTCCTTCCATACGCCCTTCCTTCTTTACTCCCTTCCTTCCTTACTCCCTTCCTTACTCCCTTCCTTCTTTACTCCCTTCCTTAGTCCCTTCCTTCACTCCTTAGTCCCTTCCTTCCTTCCTTACTCCCTTCCTTCATTCCTTAGTCCCTTCCTTCCTTCCTTACTCCCTTCCTTCTTTACTCCCCTCCTTACTCCCTTCCTTACTCCCTTCCTTCCTTCCTTTCTTACTCCCTTCCTTTCTTCCTTACTCCCGTCCTTCCTTAGTCCCTTCCTTTCTTCCTTACTCCCTTCCTTCCTTCCTTAGTCCCTTCCTTCCTTCCTTAGTCCCTTCCTTCCTTTTTTACTCCCTTCCTTCTTTACTCCCCTCCTTACTCCCTTCCTTCATTCCTTAGTCCCTTCCTTCCTTAGTCCCTTCCTTTCTTCCTTACTCCCTTCTTTTCTTCCTTACTCCCTTCCTTTCTTCCTTACTCCCTTCCTTCCTTCCTTAGTCCCTCCCTTCCTTCCTTTCTCCCTTCCTTCTTTACTCCCCTCCTTACTCCCTTCCTTCATTCCTTAGTCCCTTCCTTCCTTCCTTACTCCCTTCCTTTCTTCCTTTCTTCCTTCCTTGTTTAAAGCCCATCCCTGATGGATATAAATATTTTGCATAAACTATTTTAAATTTAACAAACATATAGGAATAAAAACTCTGGAGATTTTCTTCTGGAATGTTTTTTTTTGTTAATAACTGTTTAGGAACCCTGCAGATTATAGAGCGTTTGGTTCAGTGTGCAGTTTCAACGCGCCTTTGACCTTTTTAAGGAGGAAACCATCTGGAGCTGCTAGCTATCCTGTTTCATAGTGAAGCACTTTTTTTTTTTTTCATTTCTCCTGGTTGCCTCTCAGTATTGTTGATGTTTGAGGTTTGTTTACCAGCTGTATTCTTATAAATATGTTTATTTTATCAGCTCTTTCTGTTATTTAGCCTTAAATAGTCACCATAGTGTCTTTACAGCTTCTGTTTTTAAAACATGAATAGTTTACAGAGAACTTGGAGATGGATATCTGTAAAAATCTTAGCATTTTCAGTTTGATTAGATTTAAATACCTTTTTCTTAGCAGTAGACTAATTAGATCAGAGGGAAAGAGATATCTGTCAGCCTTGTTGCTGTGTTCTCGTTGATCTCCTTGAGATCTGAATGACATCAAACTTATTTTTGAAGTTTGCATTTTACCCTGTTGTATTGAGAAATAATCGGACTGAAGTCTCGTTTCCATCTGAGATGTTTTAAACCTGCTACTGGTCCTGATTTAACTCCAACTTGAAGCTGAAGTTCAGTGATTAAATTCTCACATTTCCTGTTCGCTCTGCAAAGTCTGCAAAGCTTCAGATTTACACGCCAGTGGATGTTTGACTGTATTTATTGTGTACAAATAAATGTGAAATAAAAATAGCCTAAGGAAAATAACCAAGAGTCCACTGTTTTTTCTTTGCTTTGAAGCTAAGCTAGTGGTTCCTAGAAAGTAAAATGGGAGGCAGATCTTTTAGTTATCAGGCAGTTTCCTAGAGCCCCAAGTTCCTGGGGGCCCCATAAAACTCTGTTTCCATGTATAGTTAATACAACTATTCCTTATTTGTTCACATTAATTATATTTTTGATAAAAATCCTTTCGCTAAAATGCCATCAGAACGCTGATAATATTAAGTGTGTCTCAGCCCCCCCCCTTCAGTGTCCACCATATTGGATCAGTCCATTTGCTGCACATGTTCAGAAAGGTCCAAACAGACAGCAGCAAACCATTTGAAAACAAACCATGCAAAGAGCAGTGTTGCCAACTTAGCGCTTTAGTCGCTATATTTAGCCACTTTTCAGACCCCTCTAGCACTTTGATTTCTAAAAAGCTCCTAGCGCCAAATCTAGAGACTTTTTTCTGCTACTGGAGACTTTGGAGACAACATCTAAAAGCAGCGAACTCTGCTCTCCAGAGCGAGTAGATTGGTAACCCCGCCTCCTGCTCTCCTCTATCTTGTCTGCTGTCATGATTCATGCAGCTATTATTTCATCCAAATGAAAAATGGAGAACAGATAAGCAGATCATGGCTTGTCTACAGTGAAAAGAAGGACTGGGTTATTTACTTTGGCCTTTTTGGAAACACAGGAAGGAGCAATCAGCTAAGTGAGCTTAGTGCTTGGAAAAAATCTTTCATTCCTTTAGAGACAGCATGAAAAGTCAGCTGAGTACAAAACATAGAGAGGAAAACAAGAAGAAAAGGGACAAGAAGAGAGGGACACAACCTAGAACAGATAATGGATGTCTATTCTATTAACATTAATCTATGTGTAGAATGGGTCTTTTTTATATGTTGTTTTCTCAATTCAGAGGGGCCCCCTGCCTGTCTTTGCCTAGGGCCCCAAATTTCCTAAATCCGCCCCTGCTCACGGCTTGTTGCTGCCTCCCAGTGGCCGAAAATATTAATAATCTTAAATGTGACTATTAGTTTAGCTATTGTAGTGTTTATTTTTTAGAGTCAATATTCTAATTCATATTTGACTTCAGTATCATTATTCATTTAATAAATTTTAAGACAAAAAAATGATGGTGGAGGTGGGGCCCACTTCTCCAGTGACCTTTTAAGGGTCAAACTCAACGCCATGTAGAGATTCATCAGAATTTACTCTATTCTACTATGTAGTTAAATATGTATAGTTTAGAGAATCATTATTTATTCTGAAAACGCAGAGTGAAAACAAAAACACATGACTTTACATAATTGCAATTAAATGTCATAAGAAATTTAGCACTGGGTTTACACGGTCGGAAATGAGGAAGCATAAATTAAATTCATAAAAATATATATAGAACTTTGAAAAAAATCTGTGATTTTCGTATATTTTGCTACATTTCTGAGGAGTCATAAAATCCCTAACATCAATAAATGAATGAATAATTATAAATAATTGAAGAGAATACAAATATTCATTATTTACCCCAGACAATGATGTCAGACAGAAAGCCACAAGAATAAACCGCTCTAAAAATAAATAAAAAAATGTCTTAAAAGTAAATTAATGTAAAATTCAACATCTAAATATGACAAAATGCATACTTAGATTAAATTATTTATACAAGATAAATAATAGTAAAAAAACAACAAAAACCATACACGAATTAAACTGCAACATAAAGAGCAAATAACGTATTGTAAATAAAATAATAAATAATTTAATAAAATAAATAAATATATAATGAATAAAAAATAAAACCTGTTAACATTAAATATCGCCCTGTTTCCTGTGCTTGTTCCGGTGTTGTTTTAATTTGTAGGAGCACCGGAAATAGCGCCCGCGCTCTCCGCTAGGGCTTGACATTGGTGTGGAAAGATGGCTGCTTCGGCGGCAACGGCGAGTTCTCCCCCCGGTTTGTGTCCAAATTACGCCGTGATTTGCTCATTCCTTGAGCGCTACGGAGCGCTGTTGGACTTACCGGAGCTCACCTTCCCTCAGCTGGAGAGATACCTGCAGGACACATCTTCAGGTAGGGCAGGGAAGCAGGCAAGCTGGAGGCTCCAGCGGAGAGGCTCCAGCCTTGCATTGATGATGGTGGGACTGAGCTAACGTGCTAAGGGCTAACGTTAGCTGTTATTGTGTGAATTTTTTTTAACCTTCGTGTTTACTTAAACACAAGTTAACTATCTCCAATCCCCGCTCTTCAAGATTTTAGACGTTTTCCTGCAAATTTTGGCCAAGATTAAAACACAAAAATGGCGATTTATTCGATGGTTTCTGTCACTTTTTAGCTTTTGAATTTTTTCCCTGCCTTTATCTGCTTCTCGTGCAACAACACAAGCATAAATGTGCGTTAAAAACTGCTTGCGGGTTATTGGGCATGATGAGAGTTTAAGCAACGAATCGTGTAACACTGTATGCTGCTTGTAAATCCGTCGGATTGCGACGAAGACGTCAGAATAAGCACTTTATTTACAGTTAAATGTATTCTCAGGCGGTGGATAGCTGACCCGATGCTAAGTTAGCCGCACGTTTGACGACATCCGGCTGAAGCTTTCAAAATAAAACTAACTTAGACGCCTGAGCAAACAGCTTATCGTCTTCTTTGCCATTCACGTTTAACATGGAGCAAATACTTGAATTATATAAATAACATTTAATTGTACAAATTCTGCTCATCTATTTTTAAATAGTTTTTTAAGTCGTAAAAATGTCGTGGTCTTTGTCTTCCGGTGCTTATTGAAGCTAACTTGACGCTTTTCTTGCGCTTCCTATTTGAAAAGCTGATTGGGATTTAATTTCTGATTCTCATTAAAGTTTGCAGATTTTCTCTTGGAGCAACTTGGTTAAAACCTTTTATTTTTTATTTAGATTGACTGTAGTTTAGTAATATAAAGGCGAAATATGATGCATTTTGTCTCAGTGGCGTGATGTGTCAATAAGATTAATTTCATTTTCATTCTAAGAAGCTAGTTTTTTAACACTGGCATGTCATGGCAATAAATCTTCTAAAGGGGGCGCTATGGTACGATATAATACATTTAAATGCAACAGGTAAAGAAAACCAAATGCCTTCATCACCTGCTGTGAAAATATAGTTTCACCTTCTGATTTTTCTGAATGGTTTAAAAGGGTGGATTATTATCCTATTTTTAAATTTACTCAAGTTTTAAAAAAATGTAGCTTTGAGTAAAGTTGCTTTATTTAATTTATCATTCTTTATGTTGTAATCAATATATTAATCTCGTCTTTTGTGTTTTGCTTTAATTTATATATATATATATTTAGGGCTGAAACTGATTAATAGGATTAATTTATTATTGAATTATCAATTAATTCAGTGATCGATTTAATTATCAACTGCAGTATAGAAACTCTAAAACATAAAAATGAAAGAGTGGTGACTCACTCAAAGCAGTTTATTACCATTTTCCATGCAACATGATAAATATGCTGTAGTGGCAAACTTTTAGCTTCAGTGGGTTTATATTCTATAATCTGTAAATCTGTATGAAATCTTTAAGTAACCTTTTGCTGTCCAATTATTAATAGATCAGTCAAATATTAAACAGATTAATTGATTTAGTGCTACAAATCAAGATAATTTTGGAAATCGATTAATCTATCGATTGCATTTTTGGATTATTTAATTAATAATCAGATAGCCAAAGGTTCCTTAAAGAAGATTTTTTACAAAATAAAACCAAGTGACACCAAAACTTTTCCACTTGAGAAGTTCTAGATAGACCATATTGACGGACAAAAAAGTTTTTTTTTTATATTAAATGCAAAATCTTTTATTTATTTTTTTACAGTTTTGGTATAATTCCTGCTCTAAGTGGGTCGCTCTGTCAGCTAAAGGCATATTTAACTGTCTTTATACTCCAGTTTACGATTAATTGATTACTAAATTATTTCAATAATCCATTAATCTGATTTTTTTCAGCCCTAATTTGAATTAAATTGAAAATATGTTTATCAAATATTATTAACCTGCAAATAAACGTATATATTATATGTTTATTTATTATATATTATATTTTCCTATTATAATTTTGTCTTGGTTTGGTTTGCTTCTCCTTCATCTGATTTGCTTTTCCCCTCCAATATTTTACCGATGAACAATTAATTAGCGTCTATAATGTGAATTGGGGTTAAACTGACGTGGTTTATTAAAAGGCTGATTTCTATTATTTTCGGATCAGTCAACCGATCAGTGTGCTGCCAATATTGCTTCGTTTTCCTTTATTTGCATGATAAAAATGACAATGATGACAAACATTTAACAACAATCTGTCTAAACAAACAAATATTTAACAGCATATCAAAAGGAAGCATTAATAATAGCAAATAAAGGGAGCAAATCAAGGCATATCTGCTGAATGTATTAATATATGGGTAAACAGACTTTAAATAGATTTTAAAATACTTCTGTTAGTCTATAAATCTCTGAATGGCTTAGCACCTAAATACATCACAGACTTGCTATCAGTGTATCGACGCCATCAGCTGATTTATTGAAGGTTTTAATTGGTGTGCAGGAAGATGCTGACATACGGGGTTTAACTACATTCTTCTGCTCCATTTTCACTACCCTTTTGAAACTGTGCTAAGATCAGTCCGAGCAAGGTAACCGCTATAACTGTCGAGTGTAAATGACACGCAGACTGAATCGGACTGCGCTAACGTGGAGCTAGTTCATCAGTAGAGCTCGGCGTGGTTCAGTTCTGGCTCGGTCCTCAGATAACAATGAGAGCATGAGCAGCCCGCCTCATCTCCTTACAGTCAGCCTCCATAATCATGAAATTTCAGACAATCATAAAAAGATTTCCAGTGATGATTCTGCTTAGCAGTGTGATCAATGTCTGTCGTTGTTTCCTGCATCTGGAAGCCCTGATTAGACGATCGTTTGTCAAATCCACTTCCCAAAAGCCGACTCTGTCAAGCAAATTCTCCAAAGGCTTCCTTCTTCGCCTGACTCTCTGCAAACTTCTTAAATGGTTCAGGCACGGCCAGGTTGATTTGCTTGTCTACCTCTAGAGAGCAGTACTACTGTAGATCGCCACTAGGAGGCGAGGATTCCGTGCTAGCGTGATGTGTAAACGTTTATAAGGACCCGAGCTCTGCACGGTTAACTGATCCAAGCTCGGTCTGAACTCGGCACGCTTTGGTTTCAGAGGGGGAGTGGAAATGGGGCTTTCGTTTTGCAGCAGATTTCCTTTTAGGTGGTGGAATAAATTTGTGCTGCTTCCTTTTGCAGCAATGGTTTTTTGCATTACGTCTGACAAATTACCGCCTTTTGTTTGACATCCTTGGTAGGGATGCACGATATAATCGGCCCCCTATCGGTATCGGCCTTAAAACTGAATATCGGACATCGGCCACCCCACCGATATTTAACCCGATATTTGATCAGCTTCTGAGTTTCTAAAGTCTAAAAAAAAAAAAATACTACTTCTTCTTCCTCAAAAACTTCTTTTTTACAGACTTAAAAACTTCTAAAGACGAGGGAAAAAATATTGATCCATTAAAATATCCCAATATCTTCATATGCTGATATATTGCCATTTAAAAACACCATATCAATCTCTTTTACTAATGAAATATTGCTGTATGTCATCGTTATGCTACGAAATCCCCCGAAAATTCACGAAATGTTGCCATATTTTTAGATGTTGATATATTGACGCGGTATCGATCTATTTTACTAACAAAATCTCACAAGAATTTGCAAAATATCACGAGAGTTTGTAACAGAACGATGAAATTTCACGAGATTTTGAAAGTAAAATAGATCGATACCGCGTTTTTAAAAATCAATTTGATATCAGCACATGAAAATATATTTGAGTATATTATTTTTCAAAGTGTCAGAAATGGATAACAAAACTGCTATTTTCAATGACTACTTATTTTTGTCCAGCTTTGACATCGGTATCGATATCGGTTATCGGCTACATGAGTTTTAAAATATCGGCATATCGGATATCGGCCAAAATCCCAATATCGTGCATCCCTAATCCTTGGCGTTGAATACAAACCACTGCCATATATTGCTTAGCTAAAACACCTGTAGCCGTACTTCATTTGCCGGTTGCTGTAATTTATTCGTAGGAAAGGTTTATGATGCATTCAAAGTGTGTTGGGAAAAATTAAACTGGTACTCAAAGGCTGCAACAGTCATTTAAACTATTGTGCATGGGGAAACTCGACCTACATCGAGTATATCTGATATATCGCTGACCCTTACCTCAAGGTTATTACTGGATTTGGACCTGATTTAGGCAGAGTATTCACTAAAAGAAACAAAACTTTCCACTAAATTTGACCTTTAAGTTTCTTCCATTGTGGAAAAATCGTTGAGGAAAAAACACCATCCAGAAGAAACAGCCAACCCTGGTCAGGGATATGGCTGTTATCTTAATTTGTTGAAAGGATGTTTTAATGTATATAATATCTGCTAAAAGGCCTGATGCTAATAGCTAATTAACTTTTTGTGTGTTATGTGTGCCTTTCTATGTTTAATGTCCTGAAATCCTTATGAAAATAAATATTTTTGATAGTTCTCTGCTTCTCTGAAAACCTCTCTTCATAGCTTTCGGTATAAACTCGCAGCATCCTCATGTCTCCTCAGTTCCAAAGCTGCTGGTTGATCTTCATGTCAAGTTGCTGAGGAAGATTGGGAAGTCGGTTTCTGCAGACAGATGGGAGAAATACCTCGTCAAGGTAAGAGGTCAACACGGATGTAAAGACTCGGTTAAGCCTGGGATGCACTGCGGTATTTTTATTGTTGCTCACAGCTATAACTCAAATTGTGCGAATGAATGCGGAGTTTCATTTCACAGCTTGCGATGTTTGTCCTCAAACTGTACGAACCGACACTCGAATACGATCTGACTGCTCATATTGAACGTCCTCAAAGACAGTTTGGCGTCTTAAACAATCCTAACATGCGAAGTATTAACAAAGCTATCTGGTAATGGAAGAAGAAACTTTCTTTTTTGTTTCGTGAGCGCGTAATTATGAAAATGTCAGAAGAAGGAGCTCTGTCTGGTCGTATAACCGATCAACGTGTTATTCACTCACGTCCCTGACGAAAATATCACACAGGATCGCAACTCTGATCTTTCTGATCAGGAGCTTTTCGTGAGATTCCAGTCGCCTCTCTTGACCCACTAAAAGTCGCAGAGTGTATCCCGGTGTTCTGTCCGATGAGCGTAGTCGGTCAAACCAGCATACCCCGAGTCAATACCCGTTTGCCCCTTAACGTTTGCCCCTTAACGTTTGCCCCTTAACGTTTGCCCCTTAACGTTTGCCCATTAACGTTTGCCCCTTAACGTTTGTCCCTTAACGTTTGTCCCTTTAAATTGTCCCTTAACGTCTGTCCCTTTAGTTTTGTACAAAAAATTATCTCAAACTACCTCAATGGGCGTGTATCCATTTAGTCATGTATAAAAAAAAAAATGTAATTACTTTTTGGGGTTTTTAAAGTGTACGGTGTTCTCACCTTAAATAGTTTTTTTGTTTGTTTTTTTGTACCTGACTAAAGGGATACATGCCATTCAGCTAGTTTAAAGTCTATTTTTCGTAAAAAACTAAAGGGATAAACGCTAATCTGACATCTTGCCTATGCGTATTGACTGTAGTTATGCTGATCTGACAGAACAACAGGCTTAAATTGATCCATTTAAGCCTCGCACACTGTGATCACTCTCTTTAAAGTGGCAAAACTGCCTCTTAGTCGCCTTCAGATGTTGTACAGCATCACTTCTGTGCCGTCTTGAAGAATATTAGTTGTATCCATTGTTAATGCTTAGGATAATCATGGAGAAAGATCGGACTTTGAAAGGAGCAAAGCTCTTTTGATGACTGATAAATGCAGCGATTTTCACTTTGACATGATATTGACAAAATGTACCTACCATACTTTCATTTTTAACATTTTACCCCTTAGTATATTGGTGCTTTGTCACATAGCCTACTACCCTGATCGGATAAATGCGTTTACAAACATTATAATTGAGTTGTACTTGTTTATTCTGTAATGGATTTATAGCATCATTTTAGCCTTTTGAACTATATATGAATTAAATCCTGAGGTGCCTAAAGACTCCCACCCCTCATCATATGCAGCAGGGGCTTGGGGGACGTTCCTCCAAGCCCCTGGGTGTCGTGGGTGAGCGGTTAGGGTGTCAGACTTGGATCCCAAAGGTTACCGGTTCGACTCCCGACCCGCCAGGTTGGTGGGGGGTAATTAACCAGCGCTCTCCCCCATCCTCCTCCATGACTGAGGTACCCTGAGCATGGTACCGTCCTGCCACACTGCTCCCTTGGGGCGCCATTGAGGGCTGCCCCCTTGAGGCATAAATGCAATTTCATAGTGTGCAGTGTTCACTTGGGTGTGCTGTGTCACAATGACAATGGGAGTTGGAGGAGTTTTCCCAAAGGGCTTTTCACTCCTCAGCATTTTTAGGGAGATAAGACACATGCAGATGATGGTTGTAGTGTTCAGTCTTTGTTATCAACCTGCTTCACTCCTAAAATCTGTGGGGTGGGGGGATTTCTCCGTTATCTTTTGCAGGCCAGTTAGTTCTACGTCAGCTTGAACACCTAAATTCGGCCAATCATATATCAATGGTCATCTGTCACTCAAATTTTTTCGGTCATAGCATCTTGATTCATATGTGGCAGCTAATATACGCAACGGTTGAAATCCGAATCCTTTCTTTTCCCATTGAGTTGCGTCCCAGTGTTCACGGGGATGGACGTCTGTGTCTTCGGCAGGCGTAGAGCTAACAGAACTGGCAGCGTTGCGAGGCAAGGGCTCAAACATGTACGGCTGGAAGCCTCCTACACCAAACCAAGCTTCTGCCGCCCTGGCGTCCTCTTCCACAGCATCTTCGTCCCGCTTTCCTCCTCTAAATAAAAAATGGATGACGGAGGAGACTCATCCACGACCTCCGACACTAAACTCTCCTCCTCTTGCGTGTTTCCTCTGTCCATAGCGTTCCTTGACAGCGTCGTTTCTAAGTCACCAATTTAGTGCTAGCTGGTCCCAATGGAATTTCCCATTGGGAACCTACTAGCACTAAGTTGCTAACTGGTTAGCAAGATGCTTCAGAGAAACCGACCACAACCAAACCTGCTTGCAAACCTTCCACCACAACAATCCCGCCTCCTTGATAATCAACCAATCACATTCACTTTATTCACTCGTGTAAAGTCGGGCACCAATTGGGAGAATTCGGAAATGCACCGGTTGGAACAGCCGCTTCTCTACGACTTAAAGGTGGTACGTGCTTGGACCTCCTCCCTTATCTGCTCCATGATGGTTGTATTATCTAGCAATTAATGCAGATGCTGATTAGCTATTTGTCTATCTAATAACTAATGTGTGCATTATGTATATTAATGCATAAACAGACCATTTAACAAATGCATACATAGCAGTTATACGAATCCTTAGTTTGTCAGGAGCTATGACGTCCAACAGCCGCCAGGAGGAAAGGATCTGTGATAGGGCTCCTTTGTGCTCCTGGGAGGTCTCCAGCTGCCTCCTGCATGGGACGGTACCATCGTCCAGTAGATATGGGATCTTTCTCGGAGCTCTTTATCGCTCCTTCACCTTCACTGTCTCCAGGGGGCATCCTAGGAGAGCTAGGAGCTGACCTTCCTGATGAGCTTATCTATAATTTTCCTCTGTTATAGGCTGATTCTGCCTTTACCTTATATTTTTGTTTACAATCCAGCATCCACCATGTTTGTTGTACAGAAGTTATACAGTTTATTTTTTTGTATTTCTTTTTAAATTCAGTTCAGCTTTTTTAATGGATTCTGGAAAATATACATTTTAGAAATAATTTCTGTAATTTGTCATTTATTTTTCTAAACTAAAAGGAGGGAAAAGGTGTCTGATCTGTTTCAGGAGTGAAAACTACAATTTTATTCTGAAGCTGCACCTTGCACATCTGTTGACTAAGCATTTTTAGTCTAGAGTTTTTTACTATGAGTGTTTTTGCATCTTTATTTATGTTAAACTGACACAGGAGGATTTCTGCGTACTGCTGTCTGTGTGGATGATGAGAACAGATTCTCAGCCATTATTCTTTAGGGAAGATGTGGTTTAAGATCTTTAGTTAGTTGCTCAATGGGTGGTTTCAGTCCCTCCTGGTTTGTTGCCAATCTGGTAATTTATGGTTTTTGTTTTGTTTTGGTTGCAGATATGCCAGGAGTTCAACAGCACCTGGGCATGGGAACTGGAAGAGAAGGGATACAAGGAGCTGTCCATGGAGTGCAAGACGGGCATACTGAAAGTAAGAGCTTATTTAACTGTTTTTTCATGAGTAGATCCTTTATATCATAGGTATATTTAGGTGTTTAGACACAAAAGAGGGGAACTATGTTGCGTTTTAGCTTCTACGCGGAGGTTGAATCCTTAAGCGTGAAATAGTTTGAATTGTGAACCTAATTTAGTCTTAATTGACGCTGGTTAATTAACAACATTAACCACTTAAGTTCAGAGGGTCTTAGAAGCAAATTCCGCCTGAAGTTACATATGTGAATTAAAGCAAATTAGGGCTGAAACGATTCATCGAGTAACTCGAGTAACTCGATTACAAAAAATCCTCGAGGAAATTTATCTGCCTCGAAGCTTCGCTGAATTTATTGTATTGTAATAAGCAATGCTGTTAAATACGCAGCACACTGGTCTAGCCGGAGGGTTTTTGTGTTGCACAACGCTACCACTTCCGTTAGCGCCTGGAGCGCTTGTGCTAAGTTTGTAGCTATGGAGGGAACCGGAGAATACTCAGAAGGAGAACCCCGAAAGCGACAAAAAATGTCAAAAGTTTGGGAACATTTTAGGCTGAACAGAAAGGACAACACAGCGCAATGCATCCACTGCAAAGCAGAATTGGCGTACCACAACAGCACGACATCAATGTTGCAGCATCTGAAGAGAAAACACCCGCTACATGCATCCAACTCGTACACGGTTGCCAACAGGTAACGTTTATGTTCTCTTTGCTAACTACGTTGTGTGATAATCTGCCATGTTATAGATGTAAATTGAGGCACATTATTTTGCTAACGTTACATCTAAACATAGCGGTTACTTAACCGGGTGTAGTGTAAATTGTATGTGAGGGTGGAACTGAGAGAAATTATGCAGGACTTAATGTAAGTTTGTTAATAAAAATACGCAGCAACAGATTACAGGCATAAGCTGAAAAGCATTAATTATTGGTGTCTTTCCATCCTGAAAAGTTACAGTCTTTTCTTCTCGCTACTGTTATGTATGAATTAGAAATTTTTGATTAATATTTTTTGTAGTAATTCTATATTTGTTTATACCTAAGCAATCAAGAATAAATAATAGCATCGTTTTAATAAAAATAGCAACATTTTTTCATTTTATCATGACTAGTTAAGGCTGCAGAACTCTGTACAAACTCAAACCTTTACATTTAGACATTTTTATAAGCATATTTGTGAGCCTGCCACTTTATTATTTGAATATAATTTAATATCTTAAAACTTTTCTTCAGGTTAAAGCAAACTACTGTTACAAGTAAACTTTCTAAACTACAAACATTTAACTGTTAGGGATGCTCAAAAAGGAGATATTGGATTGATCTGGACTAACTGGTGTTATTGCAGATTTGCCAATAGTTTATTTTATAAATTTTTTTTATCCGATTACTCGATTAATCGTAAGAATAATCGATAGATTACTCGATTACTAAAATATTCGTTTACAACTGCCCTAAAACAAATACAGCTCCCAAACTATGAATTAGAAATACAATGGTTTGTGTGACTGTGGCAAACTCTCCTACATCTTAAGTCGGAATAGGAATGCTGAATGAATTAAACATCTTAACAAACGGCTACAGAAATAAACAATAAACAATTCCCAGCAAGCCCCATGCAATCACTGCTGGATCAGTAGCAACAACACAAGCTATGTAGCTTTAAATACAGCAAGTCTAGGCAGCAGCAGCATTAAATGAATTACTATTAGCTAGGGATGCACGATATAATCGGCCCCCTATCGGCCTTAAAACTGAATATCGGACATCGGCCACCCCACCGATATTTAACCCGATATTTGATCAGCTTCTGAGTTTCTAAAGTCTAAAAAAAAAAAAAAAAAAAACTACTTCTTCTTCCTCAAAAACGTCTTTTTTACAGACCTAAAAACTTCTAAAGACGAGGGAAAAAATATTGATACATTAAAATATCACAATATCTTCATATGCTGATATATTGCCATTTAAAAACACCATATCAATCTCTTTTACTAATGAAATATTGCTGTATGTCATCGTTATGCTACGAAATCCCCCGAAAATTCACCAAATGTTGCCATATTTTTATATGTTGATATATTGACGCGGTATCGATCTATTTTACTAACAAAATCTCACAAGAATTTGCAAAATATCATGAGAGTTTGTAACAGAACGATGAAATTTCACGAGATTTTGAAAGTAAAATAGATCGATACCGCGTTTTTAAAAATCAATTTGATATCAGCATATGAAAATATATTTGAGTTTATTATTTTTCAAAGTGTCAGAAATGGATAACAAAACTGCTATTTTCAATGATTACTTATTTTTGTCCAGCTTTAACATCGGTATCAATATCGGTTATCGACTACATGAGTTTTAAAATATCGGCATATCAGATATCGGCCAAAATCCCGATATCGTGCATCCCTACTATTAGCAGCAAATGCTAACTGGAGCTAGCAATCACAGCAGCTTACCAGAACAGCAGGAAACGCATAAATATGGTATAAATGACTGATTTACACTATAATGATATTAACTCAGAACAGGTAAAGAGTAAACTATTATCTAAAAGGCAATTACTTTATTTATCACGCACACAAATATCCACAATGAAGGAAAAGACACTGAGCATGTGTCACACTGCTAGCGGTCCGGGTGGAAACAAAAATCTAGACCAAGTTCTCTCACTCTTTCTAACAGTGACAGAAAGGCATTGAGGAATATTTTTCAGGTGGAACTACTATATTAAATGTCACCATGTCTGATTTATAGGCGATTAAACAAAGAAAAAAAGGAAAAATATTTAGCCTCGCCAATTTTTTCCAAAATAAACCCTGCAAAACACCACAAAACTCCATTTGAAACTCTGGATGAACCCTCAGACTTTATAGATCCATAAGTCAAGCAAATTTGGACTGAATAAGTCAAAGCATTTTTGTTCTACAAAGGTTTTAGTGGGCAGTGTGCTAGGAGGAAATGTGATTTTGGCACAGTGCCTGAAGTACAAAAATGCATTTTTCTAATCATAAAGGGAATCTGGTCAGAAAAATATGCTGATTTAGATTATTGGAGACTTTCTGCCTAAGAAAAAGCCTTTGCTGCTGAGATTTAGCTGTTGATTCATTGAAATTAACCAATAATATCCCCAAACTGAATAGAAAATTAGAATAACAGAGCAAGCTTATGTTACGCATTCCGGTTCTATGAGTTGAAATGGTTGCATTATGACCTCTGATCCCTCCTTGGAAAGCTCTGAGCCTCTAGTTTTCAATGATGCCAACCATTAGGGGGCGTGGCTAAAAACGGTTACCTGCTGTTGCATTAGTCCCGCAGAGTGGAATTTAAAATTTCATTTTATTTGTTTACACAGCTATAAAACAAAAAGTATTTGTGGAAAAATAATTGTGAAACATGTTTTAGAAATTTTTAAAACCCATTTGGAAGGCGTGTGGATGAAACACCATGTGACTGTGCAATTTCTATAAATAGATGAGCAGGTGTCAGTTGGCTTGGTTTATTTTATTAATTTATTTACAGCAGCTCCTTTAGTCGTCTGTTTCATAACTCCTCTTCGTTTCTCTCCAGTATTTATGCGAGATCCAGTTTGACGAAAACGTCAAGTTTAAAACAGCCATCAATGACGAAGATCCGGAGAAAATGCGTCTGCAGCCGATCGGCCGGGACAAGGACGGACAGATGTACTGGTTTCAGCTGGACCAAGATGACAATGTGCGCGTTTACCTGGAGGAGCAGGACGACTTGGACGGGGGGTCGTGGAAGTGCATCGTCAGGTCAGTTTGTTAGTTGATCTGGCTAAGAATGCAAAGAATGAGGAATTTTCTAGATCTATCGACTGATCTTTAGTTGGTTTTTCTCCTCTTTAGGACCAGAAATGACCTGGCGGAAGTTGTTGCCCTCCTAAAGACACAAATCGACCCTGAGCTGCTTAAAAAAGACCTGGAGAAGAAAAGTAAAGCAGAAGGGGAGACGGACAAAGATAAAGGTTGGACTTTAAGTGTCTTTTTTTAACACGTCCAAAAATTATCCATTAAGTTTAACATTTGATGCTTGGTAAAGGAGAGATTATCGCTAAGCTGATCATTTTCAGTCATTTAGTTCAAAATGTAAAACGGATAGAGAATGTGACTGAAGCTTGATGTAGCTGACTGTTCCCAGTGAGCTGCATCTAAGAGTATTGGCAGAAAGTTTAGTTGAAGGAAAAATTATGGTACAAAATATGCACAAGCCTCAAGAATAATGTTCCTGATTAAGAATGCACAGATAGATCGGCCGATGCTTAGATGTGAAACTGATCATAACTTCCTCTGTCAAACACCCGCTTCCAATGCTCTGAACTTTACTTTCGGCAGATATTTGAGAAGTTTTCTAGTTTCCCCGATGCTGATTAATGATTGAAATATTGAAGGTGTCTTGTGATCTTTAACTGACTTTGTCTGTATTTAAAAAAAATAAATAAAAATGGTCAACGTGTCACGCTTTTTAAAGATCGGGAATCGGTGATCAACCAGAATCCTGCGATCGGTGCACCTCTACCTCAAATTCTAGAAGAGTGTACTTCATGGCTACTGAGTCATAGGAAGGGCTACCAGTACTGGCCTATGATCTGGAGGGGTCAACCTTCCCCTAAACTTCATACATAGTAAACATATGTTTATTTTTTCTTTTAATTTCTAGTTTTCTTTTAGATATTGTCATTTTTGAAACCGCTATACAGTAGCAGCCATTGAAAGTGGCCCTTTGCAGTCAAACGGAAGCCTAATGGCAACCTACTCCCCTTGGACTGCCAGCCAGTGGCCTTTTCCACGTGCATATTTATTTTACTGACTCCACCCTTTCACTGAACTACTGTCCACAAATCATGACAGAATATTTTGGTACAAAGATTGATGTTGAAAAAGGAATTGTAAGGGACCAGCCAAGGGCCAGTCAAGGAGAGTGGGGAAATTTTGAATGGCTACTACTGTAAATACTTGAGTGCCCTATATGATTACTATGATAAAATGCTCTATACATGATTAATTAAGAAAAAAATAATAAAATATAATTTTAAACTTAGCCACTGGTGAGCTGTTCTGTTTTTAGAAGACGTCTAGGACCCCTATGTGGTCCTGGAGGGCCCCTTGGTGCCCACAGGCACTGCATTGGTGACCCCTGTTCTAGAGGAAGAGTTGAGAGGCTCAGACTTGTACCGCCAAAGGTTGGATCAATGGTAGATTAGATTAGCTTAGATGAGCTTTATTGATCTCACAGCGGAGAAATTCACTCGTCACATATTGGCATAGTAATTAAAGAAGGTGCAAACAAGGTACCGGGCTTAACTAGTCAGCAAACTAGGTTAAACTGAAACTCATTGCAAATTAAAGGAGAGTCGTCATGAGAAACACCAGAACCAGTGATGCAGATGATCTGAGGTCACTTTTATGTACAGATCCCATCAGACCCTCCATTGGTTTCTGAACCAGTGGTTCTAAGAGGAATAAAAAAGGTTTCTGAGCCTTTGATCGTTGTAAATGTTTGCATGTTAGCTTTTCTTAACATGCTTGTTAAATAGTAAATGAGAATCCAGGTGGACACCGAGATATTTAACTTCTTAGGCTTCCTCAATCATTTTTAAGGTTTAAATTGCTTTTGATCAGAGGGAAAGAATGGGTTTTGTTGACCTTTAAAGGAAAAGTCCGGTTATCGCATACGACCCATATATGGAGGCCTTAGTCCTTGACGCAGGCGAGCCGGGTTCAAATCCGGCCTGTAGTCCTTTCCTTTACTGTCCATAAAAAAAGTGTCTGGGAGCGGCCATTTTTGCCCAAATATAGTAACCCCTCCCTCCTGCCATCTTCCAGCAGTGACGTCACGGTGCGGTAAGCCTAGCGCCATTCTCCCCGCTTTACAAGCTAAATCAATGGGAACTACTAGACACATCTGCAATCAACAACAATTATTGAAGATTTCCAGAGGACTTCACCATTGAAATTCACCAGAGCTATAGTGAAACTGACAATGCCCACGTGCATGGCAGCTGGATGCTGGAATACATCGGGTAAAAGTGGAAAAAAAAGAGTAATTCCACCTTTCTGATTCCTGATCCTCCACGGACGGGTTGGTCGTTGGATCGCCAACTTGAAGAGGGAGGATTTGCCATCGAACTTCTGGCCAGAGAAAAAACCCGTAATATGTAGCCAACATTTGGAAGAAGAATGTTTTCAAGATGACTTGGATAATAGCGCGTTGTGACAAACACCAGATACAGCACTGGGACTTGATCAACAGCCGATACCGCACCGTGACGTCACTAACCAGTAGGTGGCAGTAGTGTTCTTTGACAAACATGGATGCCTCCAGTAAAGCACATTCACATGAAAATTACTCTGAATTAAAAACACTGATTATTTATTGAACAGGATGGAATAATTATATATTTAAAGGACTTTCAGAAGTTTGAGTTCTGAATATGACTTTTCCTTTAAATTGCTTTTGATCAGAGGGAAAGAAGCTGTTTTGTCGACCTTTAATGTGAGACCTGAATTATCAAAGCATGCTGCTGCAGACTCCAAATACCGGGGCTGGTATTTTGAAACATGAGCAGCGTCCTCAACAGATACATACAAAATAAATCAGGAGGGCCCAAAGAGTCTTAATGGACCTTTTTTCTTCTTCCCTCAAGTGATAGTAAAAAACAAGATTCCCAACTAAACTTTGTTTTTCCTGTTTTTTTGTTTGTTTGTTGTTGTTTTTTTAGGCGACACTAAAAAGACTGAAGATACATCAGATGAAGACCACAAAGAGAGAAATGAAGAAACAAAAAACTCAGAGGTGAAACCAGAGGTCAGTCTGTCCCTAAACGGCGTTGTCGAAGCTAAACAGGAGCCAGAAATCACCCCAGAAAACATCAGCACAAAAGCTCAGAGCATCAAAGCGGAGCCGGAGGAGCCGGCAGACTGTAAAGCCACACTTAGCGAACCAGCGCCCCCCTGTGGAGCTGTGAAAGAAGAGGTAAAGAAGAGCGTCTTGGAGGAGAGCCAGCACCCCACAAGAAACGACCAGCAAGCCAAAATCCCCCTGAAGAAAAGGGGAATGAAGTTCCCTGAGGACTTTGAGAAACCCGGAACTGTAACGGTCCAAAACCCATCGGTCCCAGAGTCGAGTCTAGAGCAGAAGATTCCTAGAAGAAATGATCAGGTTAACGGCGAAGTTCTGCTGCAGTCAGAGAAAGAAGCTGAGGAGCAGCCTAATATAGATAAATCCAAGGAAAACGTTCCTCCGGCTGCGGATGAGGCGAAATTACTCCAGGATGACTCGACAAAAAGAGAAGAACGTGAAGCACAGAAATCTTCCCCCCAACCAGCATCTGTATTTAAAACCAGGGAGAAACCCTCCAATCAGGAAGAGGCAGAAACAAATGGAGCATCTAAATCTACAGATGGTGGAGATTCTTCTACAATCAAACCAACCACAGAGAAAGAGGATGAAAAAATCAAGTTAGACAAGTTAAATCATGAAGTTAAGTCTGAAGAGTCGGAGGGAAAGTCATCCTGTGTGGAGATGGACACGTCTGAGTCGAACCAGAGAAAACAATCAGCTAATACAGAGACGGTGGTTAACAAGTCTGATTCCTCTGAACCTAAAGGGAAGGAGGGAAACCTCGAAACATCAGAGAGGGAGTCTAACGAGACAGAGCATGAAGAAAAGGAGCCTACAGGGAAAGATCCAGAACCCACAGAGGATAATGTGGAGAAATCAACCCAGTCCAAATCCACTACATTACCATGTGATGATGGCAAAACAGACAACCGGGTTATTAAGGACAAATCGGCGGAGAAAAAGAAGCCAAGTTGTGTCAAAAAAGACGAATCTGAATCATGTCAGCTCATCAAGCAGAGCGATGATGTCAAAGAGACGAGCTCAGAAAAGCAAGAAGGCTTAAAGAAAGATTTAAACTGCAAAGACGGTACGATATGCGTTTCCACGCCGACTGAGGAAGAGCAATCTGGCGATAAACACAATCTGACAAAGGCACAAGACGGTGATGAAAGAGAGAAGGCTGATCACAAGTCAGGCAGAGACTGTGAACCGACGGAGAAGCCGCCCAGTCCTGCTGAGAAGGAAAAACCCCTTAAGGAAACCGAAACACAAGCCGAAAAGAAAGAAGAGGAGAAAGCGGCGCCGTCCAAGGATGACGCCAACAATGAGAGCAAAAGCGACTCTCAAAATAAAGACGCTCTACGTGACAAAGGGAAAGAAGGGGATTTTTTAATTGACGAGCCGGAAAAAAGTGAAAAAACTGTTCAAGAAGTTCAGAAACAAAACAAAACCTTAACGAACCACGAGGAGTCCAGGCCAACAAATTCAAGCCCAGACTCCGAATCCTCAAAAGAAGCGGAGGAAAAGCAAACCAAAGGAGCAGCAGACGATGCACCTGCAGAGCAGGACTGTGATAGGAAACACGACCGGGTGCAGAACGGTGGTAGCGCTTTGTCTCAAGGGGGCGCGCGGCGAAGAAACAGGCCCCCTGTGCACCGGAGGAGAGCCGAGCTCCAGGCAGAGGAGCGCCAGGGAGACTCTGAGTCAGACACCAACACGGGGAGGTGTCTGAGGAGGTCGCCGAGGATTTCCAGACCAACGCAGAAGGCCGTGGAGGTCCAGGAGAAAAAGGCAGAGAAGCCTCAGCCTGCTCCTCTGCCTCAGAAGGATGAAGAAGACGGAAAAGCAGAAGAGGAGGAGGAGGAGGAAGAGGTCAAAACTGTTCAAAGGAAACCCAAAGAGAAAAAGGCCGATCAGGAGAACCAGTCCAAACCTAATGTAAGACCAACAGATGTGGACTTTTGAATCATTTCTTATTGGAAAATAAAATGCAGCCATATTGTCGGATGTTTATTTCATTTTTACCAATCTTCATCTTCTTTGTGTTTTAGGGGAGAAAAAGACGGAGAACGCGGTGGTCCAACACGCGAACCCGCCGGAAAAAGAAAAGCTCCGACGACGAGCATGAAAACAGCGAGGAGGAGGAGGAGAGCGAGGAGGAGGAGAGCGAGGAGGAAGACGACGACAGCGACGAAGACTACAAGGTGGAGCGAAACAGGAAAAGGAGGAACCGGAACAGACAAAGGCGGAACTCGGACTCTTCCACGTCTTCTGACGACGGCCTACCTCCAAACGACGACCCCTGCAAACACTGTGGTCTTCCAAACCATCCTGAGCTGGTAGGCGACTGGATTTTATACTTCACCTTCTGCCGCACATGTTTGTTTCAATCCAGATTAAATTATTTATCCTTTTTTTTAATGATATAAATAAAAATGAAAATATAAAAGATAAATTTAAACTTCTTGGAGAAACTGCCTTTAACACAATGACTCCCAGAGGTCAGATCTTACTAAAACTCCCACTCGCCGTCAGTGACATTTTTCCCAATAGAATGCATTTATAGTGATGATGTCATCAACTGAAATGGTGGCATTCTAAATAGGTCGACCTTAAAATAGGTTTAATTTATATTTTTCAAAGGCTGTATTGTATGCTATTATTTGTTGTCTGGATTTGTATTAAAAAATAAATCTGTAAAACAAGACTGTTTTACTACACAAGTTAAAAGTTTGAAATTAAATTTTATTTATAGAACTTGATTAATTTCCCCCAAACCACCTTTTTTAAATTTATGACAAAGATCATCATCTTTTTTTTTTTTTTTTTCTCGCCAAATCTGCTCTACTGCGGGGGAGGGGTTTTCTAACCTACGCATGTGGTCGCCACGTAACCGTTTTACCAGTTCAAGGATAAACTCTCTGCGTGAGACGGTGACATTCAAACAGCTCCTGAACAAAACCAACGTTTAGAGCTGCTATGTTCTAACCTGACTCCACCAGATGGATCTGCTCTGCATATCCATCTGGAAACCTTCCGTTGAAGTAATTTTGGGAAGGGGCGAAAATACTGGTTAGCTGATTGGCCTATGTTGGTGATAGACGGGCCAAATAAACCAATCAGATCAACGAAGCATATGACGTACTAACAGAGCGACGACGAAGAGGAGCCAATTGATAGATCAAACTCTTGCAGAAACCAGTCGGGAGAAGAGCAAAAACATCTTTTCCTCTGAGAAAAGCCTCCAGAGCAGTGTTTTGATCTTCTTTCAGTGAAGAAATACTCTGTAATTCCGATAAAACTTGCTCGATAGCCACGCTAACGCTAGTTTCATCGGCTGAAGCCGCCATGTTCTTTAGACTGAACTGTCGCGCTTCTCGTTGCGTCACACCTCAACCCGCCTCAAAGCCAACGCTGATTGGACGTTCGTTTGGTGAACGGCTCCCAATGTCTTCAACGGAGAGTCTCCAGACTGATTAGCGAGTGAAACCTTGAAAGCTCGCGAGATCAGGATGGTCTCACGAGGCTAGGATAAACCTTCCACATCCTTAAATGTTTTGATATGTTTCTGTAGATCGACCGACAGTTTAACCCTGATGGTCTCACGAGGCTAGCTATGTTCAGGAGATCGTAAAATACAGCCACAAGCAACCTTCCCATTGAGGCTTTAACAGAATACTTTCTAATCATCTAATTAGAAGACGTCCAGGGGTTGACGTTAAGGATTTTTACCACTTGCCCTTTGGGCAAGTGACTTTCACATTTCATTCGCCCAGAAACAATTTTACTTGCCCAGTATAATGTTTGATAAATATAGTTTCTAATATTCATTTTTGTATGTATATCAATGAAACATGTTTGTTTTTTAAATGTTTTTTTGTAATTCAGTATTTTTTAAGTTTCCAGGTTCCTGGTGTGTATCTGCATGCGTCAGATAATGAACTCAAGCCTACATTACCGTGTTAACAAGCTTTTCAATCCTTCCTGCACATTCTTTTCAAACTAAACTTTGCTTTAAACTGTTGTGTTCTTGGAAAAAATATAAATTGTAATGTTAAAAATCTAAAAAAAAACTGGACAGGTTAAAAACTTAAGATAAATCACAAGACAGAAGTCTACGGAAGAGGATTAGGCCCACTGAAAAGTTAAAAAAAGTTAATTGACTTTTACATTTTATTTCAGTTTAACATGGGGGAAAAAAGTCAGAATTCTGACTTTTTTCCCATGTTAAACTGAAATAAAATAAAAAAATCAGTTAACTTTTTTTTTTCCCCCAACTGGCCCTAATCCTCTTCCGTAGAAGTCAATGTCACAAATGAATAACTTTTATTTTAGAGTCACGGTATGTTTATACAAGATAATACTATTAATATAATGTGACTTTTCTAGAGAATCATTATACATAGTTATTTTATTCAGGGTTTCCACAGTCTGACATCATTTCAGAATTCCCTGACTTTTAACTGACTCAGGATTGACAAAATAAATGCAGCCGTTTGTCGTTTTGGTAACTACATCAAAATTACCGCTAGGTGGACAAAAATCACGCCATCTGGCGGAAAATCACCCGGCTTTTTCAAATCACACGAGAATGTGTACAAAACAACAAAAATGGCGCCGGCAACGCTTCTGGGTCGTTTTCATTGAATGTCTGTGATTTTAAAGTAATTTTAAGTGATAAATAAAATTTTTTTGCAATCATTGCAAGTGCAATGATCGCAAAAAATTTGCAAAAATTGCACAAATCTGTACTCTCCCAACAATAAAAACTACTTGCCCCGGGTGATCGGGCGATGGTTAACATGGAGCCCTAACATCCACGCCAACCTTTGCGAGATTATAGTAGCCCAGGGGCTCTGGTTTGGTTTTTGAGTTTACCGGTTGAGGTGTGGCTAGTGCTTGACCTTGAACAAAAGTTTCACTATTGTCTGATTGGTCACTGATACGTCTGCGTTTTCCTGTGGGTGGGCGATCATCCTCTGGCTCGCTGTCAGAATCTAAGTCACTTCCTACTCGCCGTCCACATCTTTTTTTCCCCTCAAGCGTTTATAAAGCCTGTGACGCGGTTAGATTTCTCCTGAAAGACGTTTTTTTTCCGTATTACCCCAGGCTCACAACGACTCCGGTCTTACCGCTGCGGTGCGGTGGGTGCGGCGCCGCAGTGATTCCAAGTCATTAAAAAGACGTAAACCTCTCTCACCGGCTGCTGAGCTGTCCGGCTGCGGTTACCGAGACACTCCGGCGCTGCAGAAAATTCCACAAGAAAGCTATCCTTGCGGCGTGCCGGAGCCCTCCGCAACAAGCTCTCGCAAATATCCTTATTTGGGCCGTGTTATCGCGTGAAGTTACGTGAACTCAAGTGAACTTCTGTTAAATCTCCGGACCTGTTGCCGGAGCCGCAGAGCCGCACCGCACCGTAGTCAAAAGGGCGGTGTGAGAGGGGGTGTGCGGGAGTTGCGGTCTCCGTCGGCTCGGTAACCGCACCGGAGCCAGTGTGAGCAAGGGGTTAGCCAAAGAGTTATAGGTAGAATATTGGTTGCTTGGCAACGGTACCAAATGTCAATCAACCGCAGGAAGAATTTACAATACAACTAATGGAGCCGTCAAAATGATGGCTGTGGGAGATCGAGGTAAAATTAACCATATTTATTTTTTATGTATTATTTAATTAAGATAACTACGTGAAAATGAAGGAAATATAGAAACAGGAAAAGTTAGTTAATATGAGCAACATATGATTAATGTCAATAAAGTTATAAAGCCTTGGGAGTTCTAGTGTTAAACTCTAACTGTATCACAAAAATTAGCAAATAAATGTTGTTTTTCCTTTCATTAAAGGAAATGGAAACCATCAAACAATGCAGAACAAATATATAACTGTTAAATTTAAATGTATATGAAGGTAAAAAAAAAAAGGAATCTGATTCTACTGTTTTCCTTCGTCTGCACGTTTCCAGATCCTCCTGTGTGACTCATGTGACAGCGGCTACCACACAGCCTGCCTCAGGCCTCCTCTCATGATCATCCCAGACGGAGAATGGTTCTGCCCGCCCTGTCTGCACGTACGTTCATGTCAGATTCCTCCGCTAACCTATTATCTCACAACAAAGGGGATCAGAATCTTTAAAAAAACATTCTCATCTGCAGAAGCAGCTCTGTGAAAAACTGGAGGAGCAACTCCAAAACCTGGATGCTGCCTTGAAAAAGAAAGAACGGGCCGAGAGGAGGTGAGTCTCTCTGACTACTGCGAAAACGGATCAAAGAAGCATGAAATAGAATAAAATACTTTAAAATGTAAAAGGCATTTGGGACAACAAGAGAGAAGATCATGAAGAAACATTGATAAAAGGTAACAGTGAATAGAGACTGATTTCAGAGGTGTGTGTTTGCTGCTGTAGAGAGAACAGTAGGTAGCGTTTTTTATTTATCAGGGGCAGGGGCGGATTAAGGAAATCTGGGGCCCTAGGCAAAGACAGGCAAGGGGGCCCTCTGAATTGAGAAGACAACACATAAAACAGACCCATTATAGAGAAATGTTAATAGAATAGACATCTGTTCTAGGTTGTGTCCCTCTCTTCTTGTCCCTTTTCTTCTTCTTTTCCTCTCTATGTTTTGTACTCGGCTGACTTTTCATGCTGTCTCTAAAGGAATGATTTTCTCCAAGCACTAAGCTCACTTAGCTGATTGCTCCTTCCTGTGTTTCCAAAAAGGCCAAAGTAAATAACCCAGTCCTTCTTTTCACTGTAGACAAGCCATGATCTGCTTCTCTGTTCTCCATTTTTCATTTGGATGAAATAATAGCTGCATGAATCATGACAGCAGACAAGATAGAGGAGAGCAGGAGGCGGGGTCTGAAAAGTGGCTAAATATAGCGACTAAAGCGCTAAGTTGGCAACACTGCTCTTTGCATGGTTTGTTTTCAAATGGTTTGCTGCTGTCTGTTTGGACCTTTCTGAACATGTGCAGCAAATGGACTGATCCAATATGGTGGACACTGAGGGGGGGGGGCTGAGACACACTTAATATTATAAGCGTTCTGATGGCATTTTAGCGAAAGGATTTTTATCAAAAACATAATTAATGTGCACAAATAAGGAATAGCTGACATGGGAGCTGGCTCAGAGCTCGTCTGTCTGGCTGTGTGTTTCCTGGAAGGGGCCGCCTTTTACAGTTGCCTTTTGTATCTATGTTTCTTTTTCTATGTCTGCTTCTGTCTCCTTGAACCCCAGTGGGCCTCAGCAGATGGCCGCTCACACTGAGCCTGGTTCTGTTGGAGGTTTCTTCCTGTTCAAAGGGAGTTTTTCCTCTCCACTGTCGCTACAAGCATACTAAGTGTGAGGGATTGCTGAAGAGTCAATGAGTCGATGCATCAACTGCTTTTCCTTAGATAGAAAACTTTGAAACAATTTGACTGGTTGAACTTTAAACTGCCTCGAGATGACTTGTGTTGTGAATCGGCGCTATAGAAATAAACTGAATTGAATTAAAGCAGTATAAGCTCCACCCACTGTCTAAAAATGAAAGACCAGCATAAAAAACAAACCTAATTTGCCATGTCTTGCAGCATGCTATCAGTAAATATTTAGATCATTATTATGAAATATGGAACATTCTTTTATTTTCAGTTTTAAATAAATGTCCTACATTAGTTATTGCTTAGTGGGGGTTTTTTTCTCGTTAATCTCTGGTATTTTTTGAGCTCCATAAATGAGCCTATATTGTTTACTGCATTTATAATTTTCTGATCAATTGTGTTTGATTATTTTCTCAGGAAGGAGCGGCTAATTTATGTTGGAATCAGCGTTGAAAACATCATCACGCCGTCGGTGAGTACATACCAAGCCTACGTGGACACTGTACGGTAATTGGTCGGCTCATGTTTGCATCATTAAAATGTTTAATTCTGTCCCAGGTGGAGGTGGAAGAAGAAAAGCCTCAGATCGTTATCAAGGAGAAGAAAGAAACCAAACGGAGTAAGAGCTGGGGCCGCAGGTCAACGAGGGCCAAGAAAAGCATCAGCTACAGGTTTAAAACAAACTTCTTTAAGTTCTCCTTAGTTGCCCAGCTTACTGCAAAGAAAGAACACGCTTTTTAAGCTTTTTAAAGTTAAACTAACCAGATTCACTTAAAAGTAACCTCAGCTGTACCAGGGTTCCCGCGGGTCCTTAAAAAGTCTTAAAAGGCATTGAATTCTTCAAAATAAAACTAAGGCCTTAAATGGTATTAAAATGTCTTAAATCAGTCTTTCGTAGGTCTTAATTTTTAAAACATCATAAATAGGATTATTTTTATTATGATTTATTTTTGTAATCTAAATAACAGCTCACCATTATTGGTTCCGTCCCGATAGCGGAACCGATAAAAGCGTTGTTGCGGCCGGGACATTTGGGAGATGCGCCATTAACTTTTTGTCTGGAAAATATGAGCAAGTGTAAATGTAACGAAAATTGTCTCCAGTCAAGAGTTTTCTCCACGGCTAAAACCAGGGAACATACATGAGGCTCAGTGGATTTAGTGCAAGAAGTCATTCAAGCTCAGAACGATGGGAATTAAGGCAGTGGAGTCACATGGAGTTACAGAGAAACAGCCGGTATTTCTCAGTTTAGTTCCACCCTTGTCTCTGCAACGCCTCCACTTATCACCAAATCGAACATAATAAGAAAACCATACAAAGAAAAATAGCTGCAAAAAAGACTTAGCACTGGTTATGTTGGGGCTTTAAAACTGATTAGTTTTGTTCCCTGCTAAAACAAAGTTTGTGAATTCAGTTAAATAATTGTTCAAATATATCTGTCATCTGTGTGATTTTAGCTTTCTTCCTGTATGGGAAGCTTTTCAAAATCTGAAACATTAGTGCAGTGGTTTATGTTAAAATAAACCTTTGGGTTAAGTTGTCGCAAGCAGGTTTTTCTTGGGTTTCTAGCTAATTTGGTCTTAAATTTTTATTTCAAGTGGCATTAAAAAGTCTTGAATTGAACTTGCCTTATGCTGTAGGAACCCTGTGTACAAAATCTAAACTCCACAGAGTTTATTTATGCCACAGAAAAGGAAGAAAATCTCTGCCAAAATAAATATAAAATATATAACATCCAACTGTGAATAAAAAACAGAATAAAAGCATAGCAAGGCTATTGTAATGAAAAAGCATTCAGGAGATTGAATATAATATGTAGCGGACTCCCAATCTGATATTAATATACGATGTTGGTCTAATATTAGCCAGAAATCAAATATCAGCTTAAATCGGCCATAACCTAATGTCTCTAATAGTGTCCAGCTGATGGAAAGCTGTTTAAAGTTTGGTTTATATTGGTTAATATGTAAGGCTTTGTTGTGCGCAGGCGGTCTGGAGCGCTGCGGGGTGGGGAGGTTACGGAGGATGTGGGATTTCGGGGTTAGCTGTTATAAGATCACGAGATATTTTCATCTTCCTAAAAAAAAAACAGTTATACATTTGCTGTGAAACAATAAAATATCGAAATAGCTGCTTTAAGGCATTGACTGAGGTAGATCAGATTGGTGGAAAAGATCGCTTTCACATCTATTGACTGATCACCGTTACTGTGTATAGTCAGTGTTTTATTTGCTTAGCTGTGGAGTGAGTTTACATTAGATTAATTGGAAACATTTGTCTTTTTTTTCCACAGATTCGATGAGTTTGACGAAGCGATTGAGGAGGCCATTGAGGAAGACATCAAAGAAGCAGAAGGTGGAGGTAGGAAGGATGGTCTAGCCAACGTGAAAAAAGGGAAAGTGGTTAATTTTTATATCATTAGAAAAGAAGAGGGCTATTCTAGTACCTTTTTTGTGTTTTTTTTTTTTTTTTTTTTAGATGCATGCGCAATACAAAGCGGTGTATGATCTGAATTTATCACCTTCAGTCAATTCTCTGTGAAACAAGCCTTTACCAAATTAAAGCTCTGGTCACCGCCAGCTGTATTCAAAGATTTAAAACCATTTCTTTCCCATAAAATAAAATATTTGAGGAAGTTTTCCATCCTTTAGAAGAAAAATTAAAGTGGAAATGAAACCGTATTTTCGGGACCATAAGGCGCACCGTACTAAAAGGCGCAGTCTCAGTTATGTGTCCCATTCCTGTATTTAACACACACATAAGGCGCACCGGATTATAGGGCGCAGGTTTTATATACCGGTACATATCCTCTACTACGTCTACTGCGTATTTAGAAATAGAGCGGGAGCAAAACTGAGTATTTTTGTGCTTTATTCATGTATTTATTACAAAGTATTAATCAAACCCATCAAAGTCATCATCATCTGTTTCTGAATTAAACTGCTGCGCTAAATCAGACATGCCAATTTCCCCTTCTTCGCTGTCAGAGTCACTTTTCGTGCCGCGCGGCTCCTCGGAAATGATGCCGGCTTTTGCGAAAGCTGGAACAACAGAGCCAGCAGTCACGTTAGTCCAAGCATCTACAATCCATCCGCAAACGGTGGCGTAACTTGCCCGGCGCTGCCTTCCACTTATCGTGAAACTTTGGTCTCCGTCTGTCATCCATCGCTCCCACGCCGCTCGCAGCCTTACTTTGAACGGCCGCTTCACACCGATGTCGAGCGGTTGAAGTTCCTTTGTCAGACCCCCCGGGATAACAGCGAGCACAGCGTTCATTTGTTTCACCTTGATGGTGATGCGTGGAAAAAACCACTTGGTCTCCTTACATACACCTCCCTCAGCCACTCTCAGCCACATAAACAATCCACGCCCACACTTCCCCCTTTAACGTTCTCATGGTGGTCTCAACAACGTCCGCAGTAACAACACACATAGGGCGCACCGCACTATAGGGCGCACCGCACATTTTGAGGGAAAATAAAGACGTATATATTCGCCTTATAGTCGTGAAAATACGGTAAATTGTGTCGTACCATTATCAATAATTATACCAAAAACGTATAAAAGACGGAACATAAGCTTTGTGGTTTTTATCTGTAGGAGCTGGTCGAGGTAAGGACATGGCAAACATCACGGGCCACAGGGGCAAGGACATCTCAACCATCCTCCAAGCAGAGGAAGGTAAAGAGAACGGCCGTCCACCGCGAGCCAACGCCGCTCAGCGCCGGAAGAAACGCCGGCGACTCAACGACCTGGACAGCGACACTACTGTGGACGAAGAGGAGAGCGAGGAGGAGTTTTGTCTCAGTGAAAGGTTTGTTTTTAAAGTTTAGTTCCCGTCTTCTGAGCCATCGTCTTCGTTCTCCCGCCTTGCCTGAACTCTTCCTGTTTGGGTTCAGCTCAGAGGAAGAGTTTGTCGTTTCCGACAACGAGACGGAGCCAGAAACTGATGCGGACTCGAATGGCAGTGACTTCGGCAGCAACCGCGGCGGTAGGCGCCACGCTTCGGCATTTAGCAGAAGGCCACAGAAGCGCAGGCAGAGCTCAAGAAAGAGGAGGAGACCGAAATGGTACTCTGATGATGAAGAGGAAGAGACGGATGATGAGGTGGAAGAGGAAATAGGTAGGCTTCCAATAACTTATTTTTAAACTATTCTGGGATTATTGTCAGAATTAGGTGACCCTAATCCATAAAATCTAATTTTCCAATTTTGACAGTATCCATTTATTTTATATAACCGTAGAGTCTTAATTTCCCATGCAGAGACGGAGCGTTCGAGCGATTATAGCGACAGCGATCTGGACATGAGTCGGCGGCGGTCTCGACGGAGTCACAAGAAGGAAGTAAACTACCGCGAGACGTCGGAGTCCGAAGGTTCTCAGGCTGAAAGTAACCGGGCCAAAATGAAGCCCAGACGGTTCCGGCAGAGCTCGGACAGCGACGGTCAGTCAGGAACAGGAAGCAACTCGTGATCTTCTATATTTATATTGCTGCAGAAGAAACTTAAACTGAGGGCTGATTGTTTGGTTTTACTTAGCAGGATACAGAGGAGGGATTATTAATCCTAAAATGAGTTCTATAACTAATTCTGCCTCGATGAAGAGGGAGTTGGTACAGCACAGCTGTGGTGATAATAGGTCATCATATTCAGTAGTGGTAAATTCTATGGTTAAGGATGTAAATGGTATTATATAAGCTTATCAGAATTGTCATCAGTTTTATTGTGACTTATTTACAATACCATATTGTTCTCCTTGCGTTAACATTTTATACAGTCTCCCTTTATTGGCCGAGTCATCTTTCAGAGATCAAAATATCCCATATTATCTAATTAATTTCACGCTAAGATATAAGTATTATTTTCTGGTTTACATGACATAATTTCTGTGGTGAAGGTTTAGGCTATTTGCATTTGTAAGCATAGACAGAAAATAAGAGTGACCCTATACTGACTGTCGCAGTGCAGGAATTACGGGCGCCATCTTGGGGAGGTCGACCTGCTGCCCTAACCTGCTGCTTTAGGCAGAACAGAAGGATGCCTCAGCACTGTGCAGCGTATTTTTATTGAAATCAAAACACTGTTTACATCAGGGCTGTAGGGATAACTTAGTGAAGCATCAGAGCTTTGGAAGACATTAAATAAACAGCATATATACACCACATAGAATAGAAACTTCCTTTGTCCTTTATTCTATTATTTTTATGCACTTTTAAATGTCCATTGTGGGACAAGAGAATAGAAAAGACAAATATCCAATCCAATTTTATTTATTATGCACTTAAAAACAACCACAGCTGATCAAAGTGCTTCAAAGGGGAGGGAGGGGGAGAGACTACTCTATTACTCTTAATTACAGTGAGCCATTTGTTGTTTTACAGCAAAAAACAAAAATTTTGTTCAATATTCAGAAATTTAAAGTTGACTAAAAATCATTCTGTTCTTCCTCAACTCATTTCACTGAGCGGCGCTGTCGACCTCCCCAAGATGGCGCCACAAAATCCCTTTAGTCCTCATAGGTGAAAGCGATCAATACGGGGTCTACTCTTATATTATGTATATGTTGGTTAGTATTTGAGTTTTATTGAGCTTGCTGCCCACTAGTGGTGTGGCGGTGAAACTGCATAATCTTAAGCTTTCTGGTTGTCAGGGGCTCGGAGATCGCATATGGCACGTAGATGTATTAACAGAAATGGGGAAAAAGGTTTTCTTTAACAGGACCTTAGTAAAAGAAAAAATAAGATGTTTTAGGAAAGTAAAGACTAGAAATACTTTTATCAGTAGATGTAAAACACAAGATATGAAAAGAATAGAAATTTAAGTCGCACTGTATGGCAGGAAAAAAAAACATCTCAGATGGGTTAAAATAACGCTGTGTGTTTAATAATAAAACATTTTTAATACTTTTTAGAGGCGTAAAAAAAGACACATTAAATACAGTTAACGCTTGGTCAAAGCTCATCCTTTGTGAACTGGTCAGTCGTTTAGCAGAGGAAACTAAACTGCTCAAAAACGGTTCGCTTTTTCCAACCACAGATTTTCCTTTAAAGGACATTTTTATGAATTAAAGTTGGATCATTTAAACTGCCACTTTATTTCACCAGGACCTTTCTAGGCTCATGGTTCTTGTCAATGTCTATCATATCAGAAATCATCTTCTGTTATGATGAAGGCATTATTTCTTCCTACCACTCTGAGATTTATGAATCTTTTTTTTTTTTATGTATTTTCCGTTTCAACTTGTGTTTTAATCTTCATAAACTTGTACAAAAATAATCACTTTTCTTCTTATAAATTCATATTGTGTGTAAATATAACACTTTTAGGCATATTATTGCAATGGAAACCTTTACAGGGACAATCTAAAACACACTTGTAAATATATAAAAAAAAAAAAAAAAATTATAATTAATATAAGATTTTTATTAAAGGCTTAATTTTTTTTTTTTTTTATCCATCCCTCCAGCGAGTTTCTCCAGAGATTCTGAAGAATCGTCTAAGGAACCGAAGTTGAAGAGAAGAGTCGACTCCTCAGAAGATGATTCCCGGCAGCGACGTAGACGCTTGGCTCTAAAACGCAGGAGAGCGTCTGAAGAGGACGACTCGGACTCGGACGACTCTTCAGAGGAGGACCGGCCCATTCGCAAGCGGGTAAACCGCATCGACTCGGACGATGAGGAGGAGGAGGAGCTGGCAGAAAAGCCTAAGGAGGAGGAGCCAAAGGGAACAAACTCGTCGGACCGCCGCCCAACAGAGCCTCAATCAGCGAATGGACAGAGCACCACAAAGAACTTTGACGGCCCCGGCAGCCGCCCTGCCGTCGCCGACGCTCCGGGTCTCATTCCACAACCGGACACGCTTAAAACTGTTGTTCCCACAGCAGCCGTTGTCGCCGCCCCGAACGGACTGGTGGGGCAGGAAGCGGCGGCGCAGGAAGACGACGAGGACGACCTGTTGGGAGTCACAGACTTGGTGGACTACGTCTGCAGTAACGAACAATTGTAAAAATATAAAAAAAATGGTGTACCGTTTCTTTTTTTGTGGTATTGTATTTTTATATTGCTTAACTTTATTATTCCCTCTCCCTGTTTTTGTTTATTTCCACGTGGAGCTTGATTCCAGTCCGTCTCACCATTCGGTGCATTCGTCCGATGCAGACAGTTAGGGCGCCGACATATCGTATCAGATCCTCCAGCTCCACTGCCAAACCTTCCTCCAGTCATCTTTTCATCTACATTTTTTTTGCATTAATGTTCTTGTACAAAATCTGCCAACCAAGTTTTATTTTGTTTGAGGTCCGTTATCTAGCCTCTAAAATCATTCCATCCCTGACTCAAACGTTTATGACGGCTGTCCAAACTATTAGCCCCTCCGACCGCAATTCATGAATCCTATAAAATAATTCTCCTTTTCTACAGGAAACTCCTAAGTGGCGGTAAACATTTTAAATGACCACGCTGAGTGACTCTTATAAGCCAAATGTGCGTGTATTCATCTCAGATCTATAACATGAATTACAGATCCTGATCTTTATTCGAAAAATGTTTTTGGCTTCTGTACTTTTCTGCTTTCTGATCAGGTGGTTAAAAAAAAAGACAAAACAGAGTTAAAAGACTTTAAAAAGTTTTTAATCAGTCAGAAATGGGTTTGAGTACACTTCTTTACTTGATGTTTAAATGCTGGCAGCAGCAAGTTGATGCATTCACCATGCATTCACTCTTAAATCAAAAGTCTTTGGCAAAAATATTTCTGCAGAAAAAAAAAATTGCACGTTTACCTGCAATTTTCAATTATTTTGGACTCTGATCCTGCTGCTCTAGTCTGCCATTTTGTGGCCGTCTAGAGTATCTTACATCGGTGACAACCCAAAAAAAACTAGAACGTTATTTTAATTTATATAAATATCCCTGCCTACAATTTTATGAGCTTCCAAATTCAGATTTCGTGTCTTGAAATGTGCGGTACTGTTTTTAAAAGCCTTTTTTACTCTAATTGAATAAGCTAACCCTTGAACAAATGTTTGGGTGACCCCGGGTCACCGTGCTGTTGTATCTGGAAGCCTTCCCGCCCCCTTTTTTCCCCCGCCTCAGTCGTCCTCCTGTCTGTGTCGAAGGCGTGAATGTATCCAAGTGACCAACCTGTTTTTTTCCTCAGCCTTCCCCTCTTTCTCAACTTTTGTATTTGAGCGATAGACTAGCCTTTTGTATGCTGTATACGTTGTGTAATTATTTGACTTCTGTGTATCGCCATCCGCACCGGTGGTGAACTCTCCGTTACCAAGAGTTGTTTATGAGGAGCAAAATTTAAAAAAGTTAAACTATTGTCCCTCCTTAGATCCGAGTGTCTTTGTATTCCATTCGTTACATTATCATGTATTTTATTTTGTATATCTAAACCATTATGAGTGAAAATGTAAAGTGTCTTATTTTTTTTTTTTTTTGTACATTCTCCCACATTATAGGTCCAAAAATCATGCTTTCATCATGTTTAACTAAAATAATTCAATTTGGTATCAATTTTTCCTCATTCTACTTCCCCAGATCTTCCAGTAACTCTTGTTTCTATAACCTTGAACTAAAGTCAGATTGCCTGACTTTACCATCAATATCATGATCAATCAATACAAAGTGTAATAAAAAGTTTGGAAGCAAAATAGAGAAGTTTTTGGGGGCTTAAAGCAATGACTATTCTGACCTCTTCTGGATCCAGTCTGTGTATATCTGTAGTTTTTGCTGTAATATATTTAGAGGCATTTTGTAATCGATTAAAAGTAAATATATTGGGCAATTCTTTTGGATTGCATGGGTTTCTATTAGTTTTTTGTTTTGTTTTTTTCAGTAGGGAAGTAACATCGGCACAACAGTTTTGTTTGTTGGTTTTTTTATAGAAAAATTTGGGCATGTTTTTACAAATATTTATCTCCTGACTGCTGGTTTTGGTGCGGAGGAGGACACTTCTGCTGGAAGCGCACGGGATCAGCTCAACATTAACTGACTGAGAAGATGAAGCCCATTTGTAAAATATTTTGTAAACTACTCTAAGCGTGGTCTCCACAGAGAAGTCTCTATTTACCCATAACGCATCTTCCGATAAGATAAATGTGTGCCGCCTACAGTGCGCACTAACATTACAATATTTAGCCTTCAGGTGGACAGAATTTAGCTCATCTAAAAGCAAAGGTATGGCTGCTAGAAGAGGCGGGGGGGGGGGGGGGGGGGGGGGCTGAGTGTAGAAATGTATTGATAGATGTTGCATAGAAGCAGGTTTGTGGGAAAATACTGTGCCAACGAGTGTTAACTGTTTCCTGTTTACCTCATGATGAAGCTGGAAGGAAAGAAACCCTGTCCACTGTGGATAGTTCCTAGTAAATGGATTGTGATTTATCTGCTATATTACTTTTTGTTTGTTTACTGCAATTTCTTATGGATCGGCTCTTGTACATTTGTTATAATAAATCAGGTTTTAAACCTTTATTCTTATGTTGCTTCTTTTTTGTAACGTGTGTTAATCGCTTGGCTCATAAAAGTGATTTAAAATTAAACTTAAGCTAGAAAGTTAACTTTTTCTTTACACCATGTCCCATTAAAAATAATTTCACACATATATTCTTAGTTTTAATGTGAAATTACTCCACCTTTGTTATATTTTTGAAAATTAAACTTTCAGAAGGATTAATTATTCCTGTCATGTAATTTTATATTTTAGAAAATGTCTCTAATTTTATTGTGTATTCATAATTTGTGTAATTGATTCGTTAGTAATCCATCAAAGGATGTCAAAAACACAATTTTTATCTTGCTCCATCTGACCAGAATTGACACATGATTAATTTTTAGTTACCACTGCAAACTGATTATCACTCCTAAACCAGGTGGACAGCCTACCTAGAATCTGATGAAATTAGAAACAGAGATCATATCTCTCCTATCCTGGCTTCTCTTCATTGGCTTCCTGTTAAATCCAGAATAGAATTTAAAATCCTCCTTCTCACATATAAAGCCTTAAATGGCCAAGCTCCATCTGATATCAGAGATCTGATTGTTCCTTATGTTCCTAACAGAGCACTTCGCTCTCAATCTGCAGGTTTACTTGTGGTTCCTAGAATTTCTAAAAGTAGAATGGGAGGCAGATCTTTTAGTTCTCAGGCTCCTCTCCTGTGGAACCAACTACCAGTTTTAGTCCGTGAGGCAGACACCCTGTCTACTTTTAAGGCTAGACTTAAAACTTTCCTTTTTGATAAAGCTTCTAGTTAGAGTGGCTCAGGTTATCCTGAGCTGTCTCTATAGTTATGCTGCTATAGGCTTAGACTGCTGGAGGACATAGGGACCCCTTTTTCATCATTCGGCTTCATTCTATCTCTATTCTCCCCCTCTGCAGAATCTTTTAGTTCAATCTCTAACGTTCTGCTCTCTCTGCTTTTTCTCATAGTAGCTTCATCTGGTCTGTTCCTGTTTGGCTGTGATGCCCTCCTCTTGGAGCTCGTCTGCCTGGCTGTGTGTTTCCTGGATGGGGTCGCCTTTTACAGCTGCTTTTTCTATGTCTGCTTCTGTCTCCTTGAACCCCAGTGGGCCTCAGCAGATGGCCGCTCACACTGAGCCTGGTTCTGCTGGAGGTTTCTTCCTGTTCAAAGGGAGTTTTTCCTCTCCACTGTCGTTACAAGCATGCTTAGTGTGAGGGATTGCTGAAGAGTCAATTAGTTGATGCAATCAGCTGGTTTTAACTTAACTTTGAATCAATCTGACTGGATGATCTGGTGAACTGTAAAGTGCCTTGAGACGACGTGTTGTATATTGGAGCTATAGAAATAAAATGAAATGAATTGAATTCTAGCTGTAAAGGTAGACCAACATCATATAGAATACTGTAGATTGCTGGAGATAGGCACCAGCCTAAAGTTACCAACTTAGTTCTTGTGTTCCTATGTTTAGTTTCCATGTTTTATTTTCCTATGTTTTAGTTTCCAGACTTCTCCAGCGCCTCTATTAAAAAAGAAAAAAAGCTGCCTAGAGAATGCAGAATTTGGTAACAGCACATAAAAGCAACAAACTCTGTCCTCCTGAGTGAGTGGATCATTGAGCCCGCCTCCAGCTCTCTGTCTGCTCTTGTCATGTAGGGCAAACTGCCTGCAGCACGAAGTAGCAGAGAGAGAGAACCTTTCCACTTTCAATCCAGATTGCCAAAGAAATGCATGTTATACAAAGCTGATGCTAATCCCACCCTAGATTCAATTCAATTCTATTCAGTTTATTTCTATAGCACCAATTTACAACACGTCATCTCAAGGAACTTTCCAGTTCAACCAGATCATCCAGTTAGATTGATTCAAAGTTTTCTATCTAAGGAAAACCGGCTGATTATCGACTCATTGACTCTTCAGCAATCCCTCACACTAAGCATGCTTGTAGCGACAGTGGAGAGGAAAAACTCCCTTTTAACAGACAGAAGCACTAGCACTGACCCATGTGGTACTCCACAGGTAATGTTTGAGCATGTGGAAGATCTGTCATTAACATTAATAGATTGCAAAATGAAATCATGAAAATATGTTTTTAATTGACACAGTCGTTGGGCTACACGGTGGTTAAGTGGGTAGCACTGTTGCCTTGCAGCAAGAAGGTTTTTGGTACAATTCCTGGCCCTGGGGTCTTTCTGCATGGGGTTTGCATCTTCTCCCTGTGCATGCTGTGTAAATTTATTCTCTCTCTCTCTCAGTTTCCCCGCTTTCCTTGTGTCACAGCTGCACTTAATCTCCTCTGATTGCTCTTATGGTTTGCTATTATACCAATACCTCTGTGCAATTACAAGAAGCGGCTTGGAGTGTTTTGAAGCGCGCGTCTGACAGATGATGAAATCACCGTGTTAACCCAGTGCGGCCCTCTACAACACCGCTGGTCAGCCGCGCAACTACTTAAGAGTTGACCAAAATAATCTGAGTTGGGAAGTAAAGGACACATTTATATTACATAACTGGTACCATGTGACCTGTTATGCTGGCTAGATTTAATGGGGCTTTTTTCCT